ATTTGGATATACATTTTAGTATATTATAAATCAAATTCGTAAATTATATATTTTAGACTTTTTATAATTTGGATATACATTTTAGTATGTTATAATCAAATATGAGAATTTGAGTCAAATCTGTGAACATGAATTTGACAGCTAATCGCAGCCCCTTTAAGACTTCATTATCAATTTACCAGTTCTGATCTCCACTTCTTAATACAGAGCATGCTAGTGCCAGTTTTTCCCTTGTAGACCATGTGTCTAAAGGACCATGAAGCTTGAATTCTACAAAAATATAAACATGAGCATGCATAAAATTGAGAAAAAATATTCTAAAAATACATACAGTAGATTTAAACTTACATTCCCATACTGGCATAGAAAATTCTCCTTGTGAACTATGCAATGTCTAAATGAAATGCTTCGCTGAGTGCAGCCTGATATGACCGCAGAGGTCGAACCCTGAACAGCTGGGGCAAATTTGGACACAATATTCAAGCTTGACACTGTTTGAATTTGGATCATGTGGATTGTGATCAAATTTTTGACATAATATAAGTTTCTGACACAAAATAAATGTGGTCAAAGATCTTAAAAATCTATTGCTCAATACTGTGCAATGGAAGATTTCTTCTTGAAACTTTTCAAAAATTTGAAATTTGAAAAATTTGAGAAAAAAAAATATGAACCCTTTAAGAAAAATTGGAAACCCCCCCTTGGAGCAATTACCCCCACACTCAATCCAAGCCTTCCCTTTGTAGTATGGAACCTTGTAGTACAATTTTAGAGAGATCCATACACTTAAACACAAGTTATTGTCTGGAAACTAGAAAAATGCTTGTTTTTGGTCCCCTTATGCCCCTAATTCCTGCATGTTTGCGGCAATTACCCCCAAACTCAATCCCAGCCTTCCCTTTGTGATATGAAACCTTGTGGTACAATCAGGGGTACAATGTCAGAGAGTTCCATACACGTACACACAAGTTATTGTCTGGAAACTACAAAAATGCTTGTTTTTGGCCCCTTTTTCCTAAACTGTTGGTACCATAACCCCCAAAATCAATCCCAACCTTCCTTTTGTAGTATTGAACCTTCTTGTAAAATTTCATAGAGATCCATTCACTTAAACTAAAGTTATTGTCCAGAAACCAAATGTGTCTTCGGGCGGACGACGACGACGACATCATACATGTAGCATTATACGAACCCCAAAAAATTTTTGCGGTCGTATAAAAATGTCTATCTCTAGATGGTCAAGCATTATATACAATTGGTACATCTGTTGCTTGTCAATTTTTTAAATAATCATGATGTTTTCCTTTATTTGATATAAGAATTTTAAAACTTTTGATGGATACATACATAGATATAAGAAGATGTGGTATGAGTGCCAATGAGACAACTCTCCAACCAAGTCAAAATTTATAAAAGTAAACCATTATAGGTCAAAGTACGGTCTTCAACACGGAGCCTTGGCTCACACCGAACAGCAAGCTATAAAGGCCCCAAAAATTACTAGTGTAAAACCATTCAACATGTTCAAACGGGAAAACTAACGGTCTAATCTATACAAATAAACTGCTTCGCTGAGCGCAGCTAGATACGCCCACAGAGGTCCAACCCTGAACAGTTGGGGCAAAAATGGATACAATATTCAAGCTTGATTCAGGTCTGAATTTGGATTGTAATTAAATATTTGACATATTATAGGTTTCTGAATAAATGTAGTCAAAGATCTTGAAATTGGTTATATGAATTGAATTTATATTCAATTAAAGATTTCTTGCTGTTGTGCAATACTTAGTAAATCTGTTGTCAGACTATAAACAAATAAAGTTCAATTAATTCTCAATGTCATATCAGAAATTTATGAAAATAAAAAGGGAGCTTACATCAATAGATATAAACAATTCACCAAAGTTTCATGAGAATTGGTGACAGCATTTTTGAGTTATTGTCCTAAAACTGGAAAATCACCCCTTTTTTTAATGAATAAAACCCCATAACTCAGAAATGTAGCATGTAAAATTTATAAAATTCTAAAGGGAGCTTACATCAATACATACAAACAATTCACCAAAGTTTCTTGCAAGTTGGTGAAAGCATTCTTGATTTATTGTCTGAAAACTGGAAAATCCCCCTTTTTTAATGAATAAAACCCCATAACTCGGAAACATAAAATCTAAATTTTATAAAAAACGAAAGGGAGCTCACGTCAATAGATATAAACAATTCACCAAAGTTTTATGCAAATTGGTTAAAACATTTTTGAGTTAATGTCCGACATGTTGACGACTGACAGACGGATGGATGGACAGACAGACGGACAACGGTATACCATAATACGTCCCATAAACGGGCGTATAAAAACGAGAAACGAGAAACACTTATGAACCACATCAACAAACTACAACTACTGCACATCAGATTCCTGACTTAGGACAGGTGCAAACAATTGCAGCGGGTTTAAACGTTTTAATGGTACAATGTATATATGTTTAATCCCAGTTTCCCACCCATCTACTCAAATATACACCCAACAGGTGTTTTTTTTAATTTCTCATGTACATGTAGCCAAAAAAAATGCTTCTGATGGAAAACTGCTCAATTATTTGAAATTTAAACAAAATTTTGGTTATAAAAATTATCTCTCTTTGGATAAGAACTTTGATTTTAGAAGAGCTATTTGCAAATTACATATATCTGCTCATAAGCTTGAAATTGAATTTGGCCATTTTTCAAATACCACGAAATGAAATAATTAGCAAAAAATGCTCCTCTGGCTGTGTTGAAGATGAAATCCATTTTTTAACTTCATGTGAAAAATTTTAACTCTGATAGAGATGCTCTCTGTGACTTTGTTTGCCAAAAAATTCCAAACTTTTCTTTACCATGTTTACTAGACAATCAGCAACAATTCATTTATTTATTAAGCTGTGAAGACAATCAGGTCCTTAATGCTGTTAGATCTATTTATTTTTCATGTAACTATATTATATACTATAAACCAAGGGCTTTATTACAGTATAATTGTATTGTGATTGTGTATTTAAATTCTATGTACATGTATCTATGCTAATCAATGTTCTTTCTTCCTTATATATTGTACATGTATTCTCTATATGCCCCTTGTGGGCCCTTAATTGGTAATAAAATATGTTCTTGTTCTTGCTCTATAGTTCAGGGATCACCATGACCTATTGTAGCGTGTCAGTGCGCTATACTTTTGAATATCCCTGCGCCTATCTTTTAATTTTCATGCACTATACTTCAAATTTCAACAGATTGTTAGATACCGAATACCTCTAACCTAATTAAATGTATCATGTCAGTTGCAATAGGAGAGTTCCGGGATAGTTGTTTCAATTTGGAGATAAAAAAGTTGTATTGCACGACATTTTTCTATGCACATGCCTATATTTTTACACAGGCAAACTAAGTAAATGATATGATCTAATTATAATTCTACCAAAAAAGTCGACCACACTGTTCTAGTTTGACTGTCTCACCCTGACGAAAACCTATTGTAAGGTGACATCATCCATATGTTGTTTTTATGCAGTCTATGTTCTACTGATCCCAACACTGCATAGTTTTCTGACGTTATCACATTGTGTGTTAATATCGGGACACGTTAAAACGGACTATCTACGGGTATCAGGTCCCTTCGCGCCCAATACACGTTCGCACCCTACACGTTCGCACCCTACAAGTTCACACCCAATTTTTATTCAAATTCCAGTTGAATTATTAGATAATTTTTTATATGTATATACCAATAAAAATTATATTTTCCTGAATAAAAATTGGGGAATTATTACATGAAATGTTTTTTTTTTTATTAATTTGATGATTAATTGTTTAATTCTAATTATGTATGATTACTGCTAATTAGTATTTATACATGCAGCTAAATTTGGTATTATTGTTGTGTGTTTGAAAATCATGATTGTTGTTTTAACTTCCTTCGATGTAAATACTGCATGAATTTAGCTTGGTATGAGTAAAACATTGAAGATTTTAAATGAAAAACAAGAAAGATAATTGTTTTTTAACAGCTTGGCCCCTTTGAGCTCACTTTATTTTGAAACAATGAAAAAAAATTAAAGCAATACACTAACCAAAACATGATTATGATTTATTCAACACAAAACAAAACGTTGTCAGAATCTTAATTTATTTCATGGACGTTAAGCAACCAACAATCAATCAATCAATTTATTTTGAAATAATAAAAAAAATAAATAATAGCAATACACTTACCAAAACTCGATTACAAATTACTTTTTAAACACAAAACCAATAAAAAGGGTGCGAACGGACTTTGGGTGCAAAAGTGTAGGGTGCGAAAGTGAAAGGGGGCGAATGTGTTTTTGGGCGAACAGACCCGGATTCCAACTAAGTAATAAGCAATCAAATTAGTATTCAATTGGTGTGAACACTTTCAACAGTGCCTCTGGGAACATGTACTGAACTGTACTGTTAAGATATATAAAGACATAACAATTTTAATTAGCTTGGATGCCAAAAGTTTGCATTTATTTTTAAATAAAGGGACGTTTTGTTTAATTGAAAAAGATCATATATTGGTATTCAGATGTGCCAATCGTTTCACCAATAAATTAAACAAACTATCAGATTAATCATGTTTTATGGGCATTGAACCTATGCAATATGAATCTAATTGGAGAATTTTTGACACAGTGTATTCATTTAATTCAAAACATTGACAAAATAGAAGAAAACTTACTTGTCGCACTGGCCATCTGAACCGGAAGTCGATTTATGGATTATGAAAGTTAGAGATGCACGTTTCCGACCTTGTCCCATCTATTGGGACTTTCTTTTTTGAGTTCAGTATTGACACTTTTTTAATTTAAAGAATTTATTGAATCAATTTAATCCAATAATGGATTTAATAAAATAAATTGTGACAATTCTTGCATTGTATTTTTGAAATTTCTTTATTCTTTGTTCGGGAAGTTTATACATATTTTATGTCAAGTAAACCAAGTTCTAAATGAAGACCAACTTTTGTCTGATGGTCAACAACCAAAGAAACTTATAAATTTTAGTGACTGAAAGTAATCAATGTACTTTGGTGGATTTATTTATGTACTATAAATACGACTTGAGCAAAATTGTCACTTATACAAAAAGGTACAAATTGAATATTTAACAACTACTGCACAAAGTCAAAGAGAATTATGATTAATCTACAACGGACAAAAATGATTATTTACCTTATAATATGAAGTAATTGCATCAACAAACTGCAGGTAGCTTATAAAACACTGTAATAAATTGGTAGTAAATATGTTATCTTATCACTTGTGAAGTGTTGCTGTGGTTCATTTGATTAGTTGACTGTGCATTTGTCACATATTTCTTACGATTTAAAAAATACAAAAATGGCTGTGTTTACACCTATGACATTTGATACTGGCTACGATTATCCGCATAAAGTAAAAATAAGAAATAATTATTGTTACTTTCTAGACAAATTGCCAAAATGTATTTCCAGACAGGGATCTGATTTCATCCAGACTCTTGACAGAAATTGCATGTAACAACAGGTAAAAATCTGGAAAAAGTTTTCTGCCATGTTATTGAAGTTTGGTTTTTTTCGTGATAGTGCTACACCACTGTAGACCAAAATCGACCTTTCTACCATTAATGCTCTTTTGGGAGTATGATACCCACTTTTATGAGGATCTTAGCCAACCTGTTCAACTACCTTTTTATCAGCTGCAGCTTATGATAGTGGAGTACTACATTTTAACTACAGTGACTTAATTGGCTATTGTGCCATGTTCTTTCACAAATATTAGAATTATTGTTTCAATGTTTTCCCAATGCATCAAATCACCAACCATATCATGCAGCTCTGTTGGCTACTAAATCTGCATACACTAGAATACATGTATACTCCAAATACTTCTGATGTCTATATACATGATATAAATGCACAAATGAACTTTGAAATTTTAAAATTTTACTTATATCTCTACAGCAGTTTTTTCAAGTATGTATAACCTAATTTTGACAATTTTGCTGGTTAATTTAATTTGATATAAAAAGATATAGATAAACGCAGAGTTAAAAGTAAAAAAAAACCAGCGAAATGTTTGGTTTCTTATACTGTATTTGTTGCAAGTTACATTTAAGGAGATGATTTCTTTAAAAAAATTCTCTTACCATTTTAGATTGTCAATGGATGTAAATGTCATGCCAGTAGATGATTTCAACCCTCCTGATATATGTGGGGATGAAAGATGTCGAGATTATTTCATGGAGTTTGTGTATTGTTTCATTATTCCTGGAGGAATAATGTTGTTACTGACAATGATAATTACAGTATCTATTCTATGTACTTGCTGTAAAAGGTAAGATTATTTATATCAGTGGTAGATTGCAACTAGATCAAGTTTAATACAGAAAGACTAAAGTACTAGTACATTAGATAATTTCAATTATAAAAATAATGCAATCAAAATACATATAAAAATAATTAAAGAAAAACCAAAAACATTGTACATATATTGTGTTGGATCTGACAATAACTTTTATTTTATGAGTGCATTATGCATTCATGGTAAAAATGGAATTGCAAAATAGGGATTGTGCAATGAAAATCAAAACAGCTTACCTACAATAAAACATATTCTTTCCATAAGTTTTGTACAGGCAGGGATATAGTTTTAATGTCCTATCTGGGAATTATACCAAAAATTTGAAAATTTGAAACAAAGTGGATACATGTAATTAGAAAATGGACTATTTTATAGAATTAAAGCCAAAAACAAACTAGCTTTGGTTATTGCATAAAAACATAACACAACTGCAGTAACAATACAGTCAATAACATTTTTTTAGGATACTACAACTTAGGCTTATAGAGTTATCTCCCATTTTGAATATTTCTAAATGTTGAAAGAAACAGAAGTTTTAATCATTATTAGATATCTATGAAAACATATTTAAACTTAGTGAATGAATTTACACAAAGATGATTTAGCACATGTTTAAAAGACTCTATTAGTCAAGCTGAAAAGGTTGTATTATGAATATGTGTTTCTAACTTTTGTCTGGTTACATGTAGAAAACTGAAAGCATTAACACATTTATCAAAATATTGATAAAACTATTCTTTTCACTGCAAAATGTATTCCCTTAAAAAAGTAAAATGTCATCTAATATAAAGAATAATAAGCAAATTTGAAGAGAATTACATTTTAACTTTATAAGTTTGGTATTATATATCTAATTGTTCCAAAACATTGAATTATCTCCCCTGCACATCACTTAACATCAACACATATCATATATATACATGTATGATGTACACATAAATCTACAAACATATTTTAAATGTATGCATCAAAATCTTTTCATTGTTTGAAAATAGAAATACACAGGTTTACATGTTCTTTATAGCCAATTTAAATATGACAGATAAAATGCTAACACTAAATTACAAATGTATTGTTTAATTCTTATGTTGAGGTTTGTTATTCATGTTTTGAATATATTATTGTTTAGGTATTGGGGAGGGGGAGGTAATCCATATATATGTTGAAAGGGATTATATCAATATTTCATTCTGATTACATATTATTTGTCATATGCAATAATATGTAATCATGAATTACCTATAAATCAAATCATAACCTGGGAGACCAGAAATATTTTTGACGATAGTCTGTATACATTTTGTTCTTTTTTCTTCTTTAGGAAAGAAAAGCCAGTGGAAGAGTAAGTTAAAAATAATACATTTAGTTTTGAATTGCAATATAATGCATAAAGGTAAACATTTTTATTCTGCTAACGGAATGGTCACAACTTCTTAAGAGTTAAGCAACCCGACATATTACCAGTAACAATATAATACAAAAGTCAATATTTATTCAGGTGTATAACTGTAGATGTGAAAAGAAATAATCTCTCATTCATATCATGAACGTGTGCTTCCATTACAATGCTTAAGTCAAATACAATCAGATGATTAGATTTTTTTTCATGGCAAGTAATCTGTTCTTTCTGAAAATCATGTATTGATATATGTTTATAAGAATTCAGTGCATTTTCTTCTGTTTTGCTGTCTCATTATAATAACATCAGGGGTTAAAAAATCCACTAGCCCGACACCCGGGACTAGACTTTTACACTTCGGGCAATTAAAACTTGTAACCGAATATGCCAGACGGACTAGTAACAAACAATTCTTGGCATTTCCAAAATAGTAAGTGGAAAATACCCTCATCACTATTTTATCTTAGCCAATCAGATTCAATTACGTACGTCATCCGGGATTCCAAGAATTTGAACCGATTTTGTACATGTTTTAAAAATAGAACAACTAACTCTGGGTGGACCAGTATCATGTATTGATCGCAATTCACGTACTTTCAATATCAATTTCTCAGTACAGGGGGTATTGTACATTGCAGAGATTTTCAATTAATGGTACTTGGGTGTATGATGTAATGATCGATATTGACCTGTCTTGTCGGACAGCTGTTAATTTGAGCTTGAAACCATGCACAAATTATTTCTAAACATTTTAGTACGGCCACCACAGGAACTTTGTCAGTTTTAAAACGAAAAACGGTAGATGAAGGGGGTAATGAGGCTGAAAATTTATCCCAAAAAATGCCAAATACGACCAGGAAAAGCGGAAAAAAACATTTATAGTGTCATGGACAGAAAGATTCCCCATGGGCAAGGTCGACTGTTACTGATGATAAACAAGAGATGATGTTTTGTGAATATTGCCGTTATTTTCCCGATCTCGCTGATAAAAAGTCTGCTTTGTATGTGGGAACAACAAATATACGAATTGAACCACTGGTTTAACATGACAATATCAATGAACATGTTTTATGTGCCCGAAAATATTTAACAACCCATAGTACAAGGGATATCCAAAAAGATGTCTAGAGATCCTTGTTATAATTAATAAAACAAAAATTTATTTGATTTATTTTATCAAATACCGTGTATAATGCCGCATTCAAAACAAGTGACACCCACTCTAAATTTGAAAGGTATACTCGGGCTAGCAGGTCAGTTTTGATGGGCTAGCAGCTCTTTCAACAGGGCTAGTAAAATCCTGCTACCAATAAGTCCTGGGCTAGTGAGCTGTAACAAATTTTTTTAACCCCTGAACATTTAACAAACATTTATTTTTGAATACATGTGTTTTGTTCTTTTGTGTTTCGAAACATAATGTGGTATTAGTACATCAACGTTTGTACAACCAAATATTTTGTTGAAATCCTATTGAATTCTTGAAATAAAATGAAACTTGATTTGTGGAAGGTACATGTAAAACTGAGGAGCACAGATCAATTTGCAATTGAAACAAACAAAAGGCTAAGTAAGTTCTAAAACTGAAGGTATGAATAAAATGGGGAAAATATCATGACTTTTAAACTATTATCTTTGATCAGGTATGAAATGGAATGTTACAATACAATAAGAAGAGCTTCTCAGAGTCTTCGAGATCTGTCACACAAGAGAGACACATTGCTAGAACCAAGGAGTGGATCTCTGAGCTTGCCTAGAAATGGATCCAGTAGCAGATCACGAAGAACATGTTACTCTGCTCCTAATACACTACAAAGGTAGCAATTCTTATCTTATTTTGAAGAGTCAATCTTAAAAACATCTTAAAATACTGTTATATTGCCAATCTAAAAGGGAGAGGAGACATATAATGAACAAATAATGATATTAATCATGTTAATGATCTTAGTTTTTTTTTAAAGATTCCAAATATTTTTAGTTAAATTATAACATTATTGCCATGATGCCATCATTGTTGTCTATTTTTGCACATCTTTCCATGGCACTAAATATAGATTGGTTTTCCTGAAAAGATGTTTAAAATGAAATGGAGAGTTATTATTCATTGACACAGTAATGCAACAACACAGAAAAGCCAAAGGACAGCCTTTTTTTTGATGATAGAACTAGGCTAAGACAGATAAACTATGAAATAGTAACTTTTGCATTTTTTTCAAAAAAAATTTATGAAAATTGTTGTTCTATTCCTATATCTAAAAACAGTGTATTCAGTAGCTTAATTTTACTTCAAATAAACTTTCTAAAACTTAAATGGAGTGTAATTAATCATCACCAAACAATGGGCAAAATTTTAATATTTTATATTTTTATTCAAAGTTGTACCTGGTTATAGGTCATTAATACAGAAAGTGTAATTGGAGGGTTGCCTGCCAGTAACAAGTATTTTCACTACAACTTTACCAAATTTGGATACAGTGCTATTAAATTAGGCCGTTAGTTTTCTCAATTGAATTGTTTTCTTATTTTTCATGTCAGGGCCTTTTACAGCCGACTATACAGTATGGGTTTTTCGCATTGTTGAAGGCTGTACGGTTACCTATAACTGCTTACATCCACTTTATTTGAACTTTGTTGGATAGTTGTCTCATTGGCAATCATACATCATCTCCTTATTTTTATATTAAAACTAAACTTATCTTGAATTTTTTGTTGTTGTTGTTATTTAGGTGTTTTTTACAATTGCAAGAAGTTGTGCATCTGTAGCCTTTGAATGCATTCATCTATATGTATTTGTTATGTTATTTAGAAATTAGCAATATGATTGAAATATAGACAACTATTTTATTTTTCAGAGACAGACGTCGACATCAAAGAGAAGAAACACATAGTTTGTCACCACCCAGCTACCAAAATCCACCAGCATATTCATATGTGTCTGACTTCTCTGGGTAAGTCTTAACCTAGCTACCAAAATGCACCAACTTATTCATACAACTGACTTCTCTGGGTAAGCTACCATTTAATGACCAAAATCAACCAGCTTATTCATTTTTGTTTGATTCTCTTGGTAAGTCACCACCAATCTACCAAAATCCTCTACATGTACATCAGATCAAAATTTTATGGGAGGACAAAAGCCCCCATTTTTGAACTTTTATATAATATTCATTAAAGTATCTTTAACAGCAGTTCAAACCAAGCTAATGTTAAGAAAACAGACTCTTAAAAATTGCACTAACAAAGAAAAGTCCTTGCAAATGGAGCTGTTGCATTGCAATGTGAGAAACTTAGCTAGAAAGATAGTTTTCTTTATGAATTATCTTCTTTATATATATCATAAGTGATGGATGATATGAAATTATAAAAGGAAAACTTTTGTCCTAGACCTAGTTTTTATAGTCTCTACATATGTTTTTTTCAAGATGAAACCTATCATTTATGGACAATATATTGTCAATTTCAGTTGTGAGAAATTTGGATAAGCAAACTTTGAAATTTGACTAGGTTTTTAACTTCACTGTTAACTTATCGTAATAATTGAAACATAATTTGTTAAGGGGAGATAACCATTTCAATAGACTTTTTTTGTGTGTCATTAAATTTGATTAATAAGTATTCTGTGAAAACATTTATCAAAATTACATGTCATGTAGATAAGGTTTTTCCTTGAAGCAGCCACAATATGCATTCTTGAGTTCCAGTGCTTCTTATTTATTTACTCCTGTGCAAAATAAATAAAATACTAGCCTAAGAAACTATCTTTATTCAGATTTAATTCACATATACAACAAACAGGAAGCTAATGTTTTACACTTTAAGTGTTTATAGAATATGTTATTACTATGGCTATATCTTAAAGTCCTTAACAAGATGTCATATCACTAAGTCCTTTATAACATCCAAGAAAGTTAAAATACAACACAGTTATCTCCTATCAACTGTTTCTATTAAACTTTTGCGTTGGATCAGTATCGAGATATTTAAAAAAAAATAGGTTAACCATTTGAAGAAATAAATAGCAAGTATTCTTCATAACTTATTTCTTGGATAAAAGATGAATGTGCTGTATGTAAAATCCTTTCCATTTTATTTACAGATCAGGATCTTATGAATTAAACCAGCAAAGTATACCAACACATTACAAATATGACCTGTAATTATAATAACAAAGTTTTGGATTCAAGTTAACGATCTGGGATTATTAGAATGTGAGAAATCCATACACTGGCAGCCAAATGTAACACAGGACCTTCATAAATTTGAGTGTTATCTACCATTATGATTTAAATAATGCCATCAGTTTAGATCTTTCATAGTGGCATACACTAAAGAATATTCTGATTAAGGCTAATTGTTTCGTCAGTTGTGTAGCAAAATCCTTTTTGAAGACTTAAACTTTCATTAAGATCAGGAAATAAAAATCAATGATATTCTCTTTTAGGGCTGTTCCAGAATTAAACACATTTGGGGCATTGGAGGCACTTTTTTTAGACCCAAACCACCCATAAAATAAAATTTTCATTTTACTTATAATTTTTACAAAATTACATGGAAAATGTAACCACCCAGAACTTATTGATTTGATTCCCTCCCATCCCTCCCACCATAATCAATTTTGGAACAGCCCAAATTACATGTCATTACTAATTAGGGTCTTCTTTGAATGAGTCACAATATTAAATTTTTTAGTCATATTTATCAACCAGTACAGTTCCATAATTATAATTATCAGCTAGTGTGCTAGAATTTAATATTGTGGCTCTTTAAAAATAGAAGGTCCCTTATACAAGACATGTTTAGTTAAAAATAGTCAAAACAAAAATTCACATTTAAAGAAATTCTTGTAATGTTTTCATGTATATTCATTTTGAAAAATTACAATATAAGTTGTCAAACTGTTTTATTCATGTACTTCAAACAAGCACTTCCGTAATACCAACAAAGTCATTCTAAAAATAATGTTTGGGTTGATATTGCCCTAGAGTGATTTATGGTAGGACCTTATCGGATAAGTTAAGGTTTAAGGTACTTTACCATGAAGTTTTCATAGAATAGATGTTCCTTTATTATTTAAGTTCCAAATGGAAGAAATATTCTAGAATATTATTTGAACTGGAAGAAATATTCTAGAATATTATTTGAACTGGAAGAAATATTCTAGAATATTATTTGAACTGGAAGAAATATTCTAGAATATTATTTGAACTGGAAGAAATATTATAGAATATTATTTGAACTGGAAGAAATATTATAGAATATGTTTTTGACAGAATAAAGGATAAAGAATATGTGTTCCAACATCTACTTTCCAGTAGCTTACTTTTGCAGTTTATCTGTTAATACATATATTTCTATTTTATTGGTTTATTTTGATCAGAAAAAATATTTATTGTTTTATGTAGAATCTTTATATTCAAGTTATTATAATACTCCGTCCTTGATATATGTGCCAAAATATATTAAATGTTGTTCAGCTTCTACAACTACATTTTAGCTAGTTGTGTTAGTATGTGCATTAAACATATCATATTCATAATTCTTCCATAGATATTATAAATATGTATTTATGTGTATATTTAATTTGATTCAAAGTGAAATTATAACCCACCAAATTATGTTATTTATTTTTTTTTCAAATAGTAGTTTTTTCATGTACATAATTATTTATGATGAAGTTTGCTTTTACAGTTTTGTCCACTTTGTCTTGCCAGTTTGTTAAGATATATTTCAATTGTACCTGATTTTGTGTCTAATATTTGAAATTTATTTATAGATAAATATGTATTTTATAAAATAATTGGTCTTTTTTTCAAAGAAAATGACTTTTTGTGTTTAAATTTTCAGTGTATTTATAATGATGTATTTTACAAGATATAGTTTGGGTGGAAATTAAAACAATCGAATAGAGATTCCTATATCAATGTATTATGGAGGAGGTAGTTTATTGAGAAAACTTATTGTAGCACAGCTGATATATATCAATGTTCATTTACTTGTATAATGTGTTCATTATTTTGGCATTATAGATCAGTAGTCTTTATTATTGAAAAAACCATCAATCATTTTCAATTCTCTCTTTATTGGTTATTAATGTTAATTTATGTAGATCATGCAGTGTTTCAAAGGTATCAATTATTATGGTGTTACAAGAAAAAGTTAACATTTAAAAAAAAAAGATAACGGTACTGGTATATATTTTTTTATTTATCAAAAGAATAAAAATTTCTTTCGTTAAAATTAAGAAAGAACTATGGGATTGCTGTTTCAGTTACATGTACCCCATATCTCATTTTATAATGATATAAACAATTGTCTACAAACATTACTCAGAAAACTTGAGATTAAACTATATGAACTCGACCAAAAATCTCTAGTGAACTACAGAATTTTGGAAGAGTAAGCAGTTTTGTTCTATATTAGAAGCAAATCAAGGAATCAACAACCCCTACCAATAACATTTACAGTCATATCTTACCTCCTTATTTTTTATATATGTCTAAACAGGTGCTATTGTAATGTAGGTTTTGTCAGATAGAAAGTAACCATATGAAAAATGATATAAAGGTATTTGTACTTTTTATAGTGTAATGATTTTCACATTATAAACAGTTGGTTAGGTTTAAAAAGAATTTATCAAGATTCAATCAGTATTTTATTTATCAATTATTCGCTGTAACTCTATGTATTGTTTGTATATCTGTTTCCCAGAAATGCAAAGGTGTTTTTTTAATGTAGAAAGGGAACAATTGGATTTTTTTTCCAAAATGATCTTTGACTTTATTAGTTTATTTCCTATCTGACATACCTTTCATGTTCAAGAAAGTTCCCTAAGGTGCAATATATCTATATTTGTGTTTTTACAATATTTTTGTACTGATTGATAAAATGTAATAAAATGTTAATAAGTGAGCAGTGTTTTTGTTGATCTGTTTGCATCACCTTTATGTAAAACACAGACCAAAGAATGAAAATCTTTACATATTAAGTATCTTGCATATGCAGAGTTAGCAAGGACTGCAAGGCAGATACTGATTTTTCATATGTACTCTTATATTTATAGTTTCCATGATAGTGATAAAAACTTATGAGAGTTTGTGAACATGTCGGCGTCATCTGTTCTGTCATCAGTTCACCTAGGCCTAACAGGCCAGCTGAAGATATTGCCATCATCTGGCATTAATTGTTAAAACCTTTAATGGTCTAATTAAGATTTATAAAGCCTGACTTCAAGCACTTAAGGCCAGCATGCAACCACAAGACCATGGGCGTGTTTCATTTTAAGAATTATATGCACACAATAAAGTTCAGAAATTTCTACCCTTTTCAGAATTACCGGTAGTCTTGTTTATAATCTCCTCATTGTTGATTTTATCTGAATGAAATTATGTGGTAAATTGTTAGAAAATTAACATGAAAATGATTTGGTCCATTGAGTTTTGTTTACATTATTCCAATTGAAGTTAGAAAAGATATAACTATTAAGAAACCATGCTTTCATCATAACCCTTGTCATTTGATTAATTGTATGTATCTGAAACTGCTTTTTTTTGGATTTTGTCTCGCCTGTGACGAGGTGGCAGAATGTGAGACATATAAGGGATTACAATCTGCCTGTGGCAGTGAATTAAACTATTTGTATAAAGCTTTAGATTTCAGGGGGTAGGAGACCTTAATGCTTCTTACTAGTATACAGGTGTATTATGTCATAAAGTTTCTGTCTGTCATATGTCCGTTGTCCTTGACCTCATTTTCATGGTTCAGCGACTGCATAAAAAATCTGTATAGTTTTTTTTTTGTCATGTGAATTTCTCACTTAAAAAGCTTGAGTAATATGATAACTATATTTGGTATTTGAGATCCTTGAAAGGTCTACATGTCAGTAAGACAGAGTTCATCTGATATCAACCTCATTTTATGGATCAGTGATAAAGGTTAAGGTTTTTAGGTCAACTAAATTTTGTGTATGAAATGATTGTAAGGTGTACATATCTGTCTGGCAGGTTTTATCTGACCTTGACCTCATTTTCATGGTTCATTGGTCAATGTTAAGTTTTCATGGTAAGGTCAGTTTCTCTGGTACTGTAAGCAATAGGTCAACTATATTTGGTGTATGAAATAATTGTATGGAGTACGGTACATGTCTGTCTGGCAGGTTTGTCTGACCATGACCTCATATTTATGGTTCAAAGTCAGTGTTATGTTTTCATGGTTAAGTCTGTTTCTCAGATACTATAAGCAAAAGGTTTACTATAAGTGGTGCATGGAATGATTACAAGGTGTACATGTTTGTCTGGCAGGGTTAATCTGACCTTGACCTTGTTTACAAGGATCATTGATTATGTTTATTTTATGAAAATCTTGTAGTAAAACCTTTTATGCTGAGACTCAACATAAATTCAATTAATGAACAACATCAAAATAATAGCACCTGATATCAAATCAATTTCCATATAAGTTAAGTAATGTAAGATGTAGTAATGTCAACAATCCTCACAGATGCACAGCAGTTGTGGGTGTGCAAAAGCTTATAATTCAAAAAGAATGCACACCCTTCATAAACTGATTATGACTGAAAGACTTATTAGAATTTTTTTAGATCAACATCAATAAGTACTGGTTAAGAAGCCATTTAATTGTTTGATTTATTTAATTCAAAATATACTATGTGAATGGTTTAAAATACATTGTTCGTATATATTTATATACCGGTATATAACATGGATAACAAAATCACTTTAAAATACATATTCATTTTTGTAACAATGATGATTCATTGAAATGTTCTTTAGCTAAACCCTATACTATTTGTCATAAAATTCTATGAAAGTTTGACAAAAATTATTGATGTCAAAAAAACTTAAAACACCACACTGTCTCTAAATGTTAGCTGCAAAAAAAAATAAGTACATTTATCAGCAAAATATGGAAAAAATTGAAGATTTAAAAAAAAAGTTTGATCTAGATACTGTCTTTTGATCATGCAGAAACCTCTTTACGAGTTTTTGTAAAATTCTATGATAGTTTGACAAGGTTATTTATATCTAAAAAAAAGAAAGTAGACTAAACCTGCAATGGAATGTATGATCACTTTGCTTTTGTGACATTCGTTTCAATTGAGATCAAAATTAGATGTATTCAATTTCTTTAATTTCCAATTCATTTGAGAGCACTTTGTGATAGTTCATCTAAATGCAGTACTAAAAAAAATTTATGAAGAAAATTTTGTGAAAAACATTTTGATTTTTCATGGGACAAAAATATAAATCTTTGTATGGCAGGATAGCATTTTAATATCAATTCAAACAGGATTGATGAATCAAATTGTAATTGGGTCAGAAATTTTAAAGAACTGCAATTGGTGGAAAGAAACACTTACAATCAAGTCGTTTTAAATTCACTAAAATTTTGTCAAATTACACACTTCTTGAAAATGTCCAAAAGACTTTTGTTTTGTTTTATTTTACTTTGGTAGAATTTGTGTAATGGTAACTATCACACAACTTTCAATGAAATTTCAACATAATTTCACATATAATTATGTGCTATGTTATTCCCTGTATAAGTAGAACTCAACACTATTATTATTTAAGTTACCAAAAAATATACAGAAAATTGTAAAGAACGATTTCAATACTTCAAAATCAATAAATACATAAATACATACACATGTATACACAGGAAGTGCAAGTATATATACAGAAGCTTTATGTGTGTAAAAATACTAGTTTACTAAATCTATAAAAGAGAACTGAATTGTTCTTATAAAATATAAATCCAGTTAAAAATTTGTTCAAATCACCAGAGTTGTTCTTGATTACTGTAAAAAGCGATTAAATCAATTATTATGGCAAATAAAATTGAGAATGGAAACAGGGAATGTGTCAAAGAGACAACAACCCGACCAAAGAGCAGAAAACAATTTATATGCCAAAATATAGTTGGTTTGTTTATGGAAAGAAATTTTCTGTAATATATAGCTGAATCTAGTTTGTATCAAGTCATTTCTAAAGAAATTATCACTTTCCAAAAAGAGTTGATCTATCACTGCAACTAAGAACTACAACTCAAACAAAAACTTTAAATTGACCATTTGAGAATTCTGACCATTCTTGTACATACTTACGATGCAAATATAGTGAAACCTGACTAGTTGACAGCACTGCCATCAAAAAATTGTTATGAATGCCATGTGGTCTTAAAAATAGGTTTAATTAGTAATCATTTCTATAGGAATGTCAAAATCTTTTTTTAAAAAGGTGGTATCTTCATAGCAGAATAACAGCTGACAAGACATGATAATAATACCAAGTATTTTTAACATTCTTCAAGGTATTCAAAAGTTTTGAGCCAGACTTCACATTGTATGTTTAGATCTACATGTACATTTTCACTAGGAATGTATATATAAATCAAGTTTGCTACATGCCAATTGTAACACCCTCTGGTGAAGATCAACCCTGCAATGTAGTATTTTTTATTTATAATAATTAAAGTATATATGAAAATACATTTACTAATTAAATGGTAAAACAATTCATACAATGAATGCTCACTAACAGTATTATGCTGAATTTCTCTCAGACCATGATTTCTTTTAATTTGGCTTCAAAGTATAGACCAAACCGGAACACATGCACACACAAAAAATATGAAGTAAACAAACCAAACTGAGCAATATTTGTTATTATCCTAAAACACCATATAAACAGCCAACAAGATTGGCTTTGCATTGGTTTTCAAAATAATTATCGAGAAAAAAACCCAACTGAACTACTACATCGACATTTTTTAGAGCTAATATTAAATGTAACCATATACAATCTATGATGCAGGATCACAATAAAAACCCTCATAATCTTACAAATAAACATAATTTTACAAAAACAGTGATTTGAAATATACACTAAGACAAGGTCAGTGTCCTCTATTTTAGTTCACTGTTAACATGATATATCTTAACTGACCACTTGTATTTTCTTACAATTTCACTGCTCTTTCTTTACAGGTATGGAAAATCCTAACAAATTATTTAAATGGTAGTATTTACTGTTGTTTGGGAAATTTTTGTGAGGTGCTTTATTTTCCGCTAATTTCATGATTAACATAAAATCTCCAAAATATATTTGCTTAAAATTTTTGATTAAATTGAAAAAAAGAACTGACTAGTAGCTTAAGCATTGATTAACACATAAATTATTATAGCTGTTATCTTAAAATCTATTGATTTTTGCATATACAGTTGTACCTTTTAATTCAAATTGCAAATATTATCATCTATAGATCATCATAAAGTCCAATGGAATGCAAAATTTAATTCATTTAGGAATGTATTATTATATTTCATATGGAATGTCAAATCAACAAAGAAAACAGTAAAAATAAAATTTCAATCCATCTTTTTCCTCTCAACTTTCAACCAAGCATATTTTATCATTTTTTTTACTGAACATTAAATGACAATAGTCAAGTACAGTTTTGAATGCAATAGTGATAACTTTTCACTTTTAAAAGTAATTTTACCTCAAAAACAAATAACAAGCATCAATGGAAAATCCATGGAAAAGTTCATATCAAAATATATATTTAACAAAATCTGTTCAATCTTTAAAAAATTAGTTTAATATTAGAAATATATTAGCAGGTATGTTAAATCCTAAATATTTCTTTACTAATAGGTGTCAGAAAAAATTTATCAAAACATATCTAAAATGATTCTAAGGAAATGGTGGGATTTTATGTATACGTCAGTGAGACAGCAACCCGATGATACAAAAAGCAAAAGATTTAAAATGATCAACATACAGTTTACAACAATTGACAGATGTCATCAAAATATGTCAAGCTCCAAATCTCCCTAATTTTAGAAAAATAGTAAACAGATTTAACTGAGATTATCAAAGATCTGCCATCAACAGGAAATTCACCAAAGTATACAATCATTAAGATATAACATAAGACAACCACTGACAAAGTTTGTAAATTGAGAACATGGTCATGTGTCAGAGTTAACCTTGAAAATTTGTTTACATGCTTGCATGCTATATCATAAACTTTTTTTTCATAATATTAACAGAAATGGGGTAAAAACAATCATAACATCTCAATTATGAGAGGCATTAAGATGCTTTTTTCAAGGCAGAATCTAGCAAGTAAGTTCAATGAAACATTTGTATTTGACACACAAAATAATAAAATAATAAATAAGCACATTTTAAAACAGTTGTATCATATGATCATTAAAAATTCTCTAAAGTATTAATAATCCAGATATATCATAAATACATTTTTCACATCCAAAAAATAAACATTACTGAATGCATAGTAAAACATTTTACGATATATGTAGCATGAACACATAAGTACAAACATGCATGAGATTATTGTAATGTTTTGCATATACATTACACTTGATGGCAACGTGATATATACCCAATGGCTACCACCTCTCTTTATTATCACAGATTTCATATAATTTATCACTAGCATTTTCATAACACAAAAATACATTTACTAATGAAAAATAATGAAAGTAAATTGTTTACACATTTATTTCCTAAGTGCCAAATAATATTTTTTTATGGTCATAATATAAAATCATAACAGTAAGGATCTACCTTTATATTCACTCTTGTGAGTACCAAAAAAAACCCAAACTTTTACAGTTATCATTTTTTTTAAATTAAATAATTTTATCCATTAATGCTTATAAATGTATCAAGCTCAATATTTAAATCATATTCTTTTCTTATCTATATTGTATATCTCAATGCTGATTACTTTATCTTAAACTTTTTGGCACACTCACAACCCTTTTATTTATATTTTTGTGTTAAATAGTGATTCGTGTAGACTCTTTGCAAATTATGATAATTACTTGTGTAGATCATTTGTTATAGACTTTTTGTAATAAACCCAAAAAAAAGAGCAGAGTATAAAACCATGAAAATAAGCACCAATGATTCAAGCAATTTTCCACAAATAACTTAAGTGGCTTTAAAAAAGTTTGGTTAAATAATATTTCTAAATCCTTATTGCCATTCTTCTTTAAATTTAGCAATGACATTAAAATGTTCTGTTCACTTAGGTAAGAGTTAAATTCTTTTAAAATGTATCCCCTTATTTTCAGGGTACTCATGATGATAACCATATCATGGCAATGAATAGTGGGTATTGTATAATGTCAGTTTTCTACAAATTTTAAACATCATAATATGTTAGCCACTTTTCCATTGGATATTGCTAAGTCATACATGGCATAGAAGCTTGAATTATTTTAAATTAAAATGTTGATATATTGTAGATCAATCTTGAATACATTGGTATAACTGACAATTTTTTGTTCATGTGAGTTCTATGGCAGCTGTAGCTATAGCTGAAAAATTGTTTCACCTCAAACAACAAATCTAATACATTATCAGCATTTCTATTCAAAAATGATCAGTTTTACAATATGACAAGTCTGTGAATTTGTCAATGATTATCATTTCATTGGAGATCTAATCAGCATTGTCGTGTCTTGCTTGCCGTCTTTGTGAACCAGAATGACGTCATTGGACTGGTGGTGTTTGATTAAATCTTCCACTGATTTAAAAGACTGAAAATAAATGTAATTAAACACAATGTAAATTTAAACTAACAAAGCCTCCTTAGTAATGCTCAAAGCCAAAAAATTAGAAATAGACCATTTTGTTTAAACTTGTAATCATGCCCAGTACGATTGTTCCTGAAAAATATGTGCCCTTATTTTCATTTAAATTTTGTACATTCTGGATATGCTCTGAAATTTATATAGAAAAGCCAATATAAAATCTGAACCAACCTGAAATATAATAAAAGAAGAATGTGTCTGAGGACATGAAGCCCACGCTCAAGCTTTGCAATATTTTAAGTTAAAAAGGGGCATAACCCTTGAATGGAAAATGACTCACTGCCAAACTTCGACCTCTGTCTGCTTGTTGTGGTTCTTAGTATTGTGTATGAGTTTCATAAAATTTGGATGAGGAATACTTAAGTTAGAGTGCAGAAACGAAAAAATTTGCAATTTTCCAAGTTATAAAGGAGTATAACTCAAGAACGATAAGTGAGTCACTGCCCAAATTCAAACTCTGTCTGCAAGTTTTGGTTCTTAGCATTGTGTATTATTTTCATAAAATTTGGAAGAGGAAAACTTAAGTTAGAGTGTTTAAACGAAAGAAAATGCAATTATCGATGTTATAAAGGGGCATAACTCTAGAAAGGTAAGTGATTCACTGCCCAAATTCAATCTGTCTGCGAGTTTTGGTTCTTAGCATTGTGTATGAGTTTCATAAATTTGGATGAGAAAACTTTAGAGTGCGGACACCAAAATGGGACAGACGGAGGGACAGACAGAAGGGTAACATTTACTGCCCCAGTTGCCTATGGCAGGGACATTAAATAGGACAAACCCATCAAGAGCTATGCATGAAGGAGATGCTACTTATTATCAAGATGAATTCTCAAAATGAGATCACCTACTGTGGATTCATAATTATGTTTGGATACCAATTTTTCCTGGAATTCGTGGGTTAAGGTAAACCACGGATTCAAATGTTTAACAAAATACAAATTTTCTATAGGCCTGTGTGCAGACTTTGACAAAATCATGAAATCAAATATCCATGAAAAATAAATTTTTCCTCAATCCATGAAAATTGGTATCCAGGAAAATAACTGAATCCCCATGAAAATTGGTATCGAGGAAAATAACTGAATCCACAGTATTCTTAAACTATATACAGTTTCCTACAGTAAACATGTTGTTATGACATTGGGGCCATGTTCTATTAACCTCCAATCAAGCATGAGATAAAGGCTAATACTGAGTTTAAAATCTACATACAAACGATTGTGTTTTTGTTAGAGATGAGAACGCATTATCATATCAACCTACCATTTCATCAGGTTTTTCTTCTCCTATAGCCATCCTACCATCATTTCTTTCTCTTATCTTCAGATTATATATATGATCATTATATAAAACCATCAATGTATAAGGCTGATTATTTCCTCCTTTTGTACTTTTTCGTAACAAAAAAGATCCATTCTAAATGAAAGAATAACAACATTATTATATACATGTATAAAGATACATTCAACAAGACCAATACAAGGTCTGGGCCTGTGTCAATACATGCAATTGATTGAGGTCACATGTACTGGAGCATAACTCATCATTCCCTTTCATTGAAGCCAAGACAACTTTGAAGAAAGTTTTCCTTGTACAATGAGTGTTGTAAATTTTCAAACTATCAGCCAACAGGAAATGGATGCATGTTGCATGTAAAATTTGCTTACTCGTTACAACAACCTTATTAAGCTGCAGACCAAATGTAAAATCATTCCCTTTAATAGCAGACAAGAAAACCGTGACGAAAATTTTCCTTGTACAATGGCTGTTGGAAAATTTCAAACTATTGGCAAACATGAAGATGAGGATGTAAAAATTGTTTACTCCCTAAAACTCAACATTATCAAGCTGCAGACCAAATATTAAATCATTTCCTTTCATAGAAGCAAAAAAAAAAACCTTTGAAGAAAGATTTCTACCTAAGGTTTTTTGGACAGACGGGGTGGGGCATTGCTAGAACTGATTTCACTGTTGCATTTGGCAATGCAGGTAAAAGTGCATGTGATTTATATTAAAATGACTCAAACCTAAAGTTTTGCATGCTTTATCAGCAATAATGAATAAAACATAATTGACAATAAAGATCAAAATAATGTTTTTGTCAACTCTAAAATGGAGCCAGCTGCTCATTTCACAAAAAATTTTATGACTAAATTACTCACTGCTCCCACTTTCTTTAATTTATCATTTCCAACCATTCTGTCTATCTCTCCAAAATACCACCTTTCCTTCAACAATGGTTCTTCAAACTTTAAAATACAAATAATAACAATTAGAGGGAATACACTTAATCAATTTTATATCCCCCTCATGTTTTAGTAACTTTACAGTTTACATTAATATGAAAATTCATTGTTTTTCCCCCAATGTTTCATTTAATTTACATTATTCATATTAACATCTTTTTCCAACAGGTGCCTCTGTGGCTGAGTAGTCTAAGTAGTTCATTTACTGTACCACTAGCCTGACAACACTGATGTTGTGATTTGGACCTCGAAGTTGCATTTGTTTCCAATCTTTATTGATATTAACTAGGATTGCCAGTTTTCCGGCTGAAGGTTGGTGATTCTCTCTGGATGCTTCATCTTCCTCCACCAATAAAAACTCAGGGCCAACATAATAGCGCCAATAGTGCTGAAAGTGGCTTAAAACACTTACTACATGTATCAATCAATCAATAATACTTTTTGTAAAGTATCATTAAAATTGTATATTTTTGAAAAAATGTTTGACATTACAAAAAACTTCTAACAGAAACAAAGACTTACCGATATCGCATCATCATAAATTTCTTGGTCATCGTCTTCATTATTGTTTTCTTCTGCATCATTTACACTGACCTTTAAATAATAACTAATGATTACTACAAAATATCATTATTGATCAATTCTATTTGAAAAAAGTCCAAACTTCATAAAGCTTAAAATAGAAAGCCATATCCATATACAACAAAGGAACAAGATCGAGTTAAACCAGTATACTACTCTTTCTTTGAAGCAGGGGTCAGAGATGGGTCTGATTACTTTCAATGTCAATTGTACGATTAAATTAAATTAATGATTACATTCGCAAGTAATCATGATTACATCTGATTACAATGAATTTCAAAATAACCCATTTGAGTGATGTTAATGAATAAAGGTTATAACTGTAGTACTTTTTGAGAAAGGATTTTATTTGATATGTACACATACATAGTTAAAAATGCTGATATGAACTCCTATGCATATGGCAAGTCTTCAGCATATTTTAGTCAAGGGCTATTGGAATGAGAGAAACTAAATTTCTATACCAATGAGTTTTACTTAATGCACAAGTAATTTCTACCTTTCAACATGTAATCATGTCCTCACAAAACAAGTTTTAAAAAAATCATTAAAATAACATTTTGTTGGTATCAAATTACATGTATATCTATATTTCAGAATATTTTAACATGCTTTATAAAGTACTATTTTAACAAGTTATTTATTTATTAAATATGAATAATAAAAATTTCATATAAGACATGATATATTGACCATAAACACAATTTGAGATTTTTTTTTCATTTTTTATCAGAATGTAATCAGGATTACAAGGTTTTTTGAAAAGTAATTGATTAAATCAAATTACATGTAATCAGATTTTTGGCTGATTAATGATTATTGGAAAAATTGTAATCAAGTACAGCTGATTAGTGATTACAATTACAATTACCCCAAGCCTTGCAGGGTATAATAAATAAGAAAGGAACACAAAAAATTAATTCGTTGAGGTTAAGAAAAGTAAAAAATACTTCTGAACAAAATTATATTGGGTTTAATATTGCTCTTATATTGCTGAAATTTTCCAAATAGAATATTCTATTGCATGTACACAATTATTTGTACAAGAAGCCTGCTATTGCTTTACAGACACTTTCAAAAAGAAAAAAACCTTGTGTTTACATACTGTTAAGTTCCTTAATGCTATCAATATCAGGGGATATTGCATCAGTGCAATACATTGTATCAGAGAATATTTCATCGTAATAAACTACTCAATAATATACCAGTTGAGAAATATCTCAATATTAGGGTCATATTATTTCCCTAATACTCGGGTAGTTCCAAATATTTAAGTCATCTGGTCAAATCTTAGCATATTTAGAAAATCTGTAACCCTGATTTATGTCAATATGAAAGCTTGAAATGAAAATCAAAACAGTTATTTAGTGGTTTTCAGGGCAAAGGAAAAACAAGAAAGATCATTTCCAGCACAAACTTCACAGACACTCAAAATCCATAACAGAAAAATATCAATAAAATGCTTCGCTGAGCGCAGCCTGATACGACCGCAGTGGTCGAACCCTGAACAGTTGGGCAAATTTGACACAATATTCAAGCTTGATACTATCTCAATTTGGATTGTGATCAAATTTTTGACATAATATAGGTTTCTGACACAAAACAAATGTGGTCAAAGATCTTACAAATCTAATGCGCAATACTGTGCAATTGAAGATTTCTTCTTGAAACTTTTCAAAAATTTGAAATTTTGAAAATTTTGAAAAAAAAATATGAACCCTTTTAAAAAAAAATTGGAAACCCCCCTTCCCCTTTGTAGTATGGAACCTTGTAGTACAATTTTAGAGAGATACATACACTTAATCACAAGTTACTGTCTGGAAACTAGAAAAATGCTTTTTTAAAATTAAAAAGCCTCCATCAGCAACATTAAAAAGTAATATCTAAAAATAAAATTCCTTCACATACATAATCATGGCTATAATTAAATAACCTTTATTAAACATTTTTAAAATAGTAACTTCTAAAAATAAATTGACAGCTAATCACCTAAAGATAATACATTACTTTATAAATAATTTACAAGCAGTGTAAGGGAGGTAATTTGACAATATGTGTTTGAATTACCTCCCTTACACTGCTTTAAAATTATGTTTTGTACGTAAGTAATTGTCCATTAACCTGGAAACCCTTGTTTTTCCACCTTTTTTTACCCTAATTCCTAAACAGTTTGAGCCATAACCCCCCAAAGCAAATTTTTACCATCCCTTTGTGATATGGTAACTTGTGGTATAATTTCAGAGAGATCCATACACCATTTCACAAGTTATTGTCTGGAAACTAGAAAAATGCTTATTTGGGCCCCATTTTGGCCCCTAATTCCTAACTAATTAGGACCATAAACCCCAAAATCAATTCCAACCTTCCTTTTGTGGTCATAAACCTTATGGTAAAATTTCATAGAAATCCATACTCTTAAACAAAAGTGTCTTCAGACGACGACGATGAGGTGATACCAATATACGACCGCAAAATTTTTGTGGTCGTATAAAAAGTAACACAATCCTCACTTAAAGCAATGATTTAACTCAGATACTCTGGATGGGTAGGAGTTCCTGCTCCATTAGTGAAGCAAGTTTCTATAAAAATATGAAATAGAAAGCATACCTTTGTATAACCATCTTTTCCCCTAGGTGGTGGAGGACCAGGTGTGGCATTGGATGGAGTAGGAGGCAGATCTCGATGATGGGATGGGATTTCTTTGACTTGTGGTGGAACTGGTGGTAAGGAATCACTAGTTTTCTGAAATATATCAATTCTATAAATAATTTTCACCTAAATAATAGATTTTTGCAACAATAAACAAATCGGCTGACAGATAAAATATTAACAGTATTACAATTAACAACTCAAAAATACTTCTTTTTAGTAACAAGTTTCAAATACCATCCTAAATACATACTGAAAACTAAGAAATTAATGAAAAGATATTATCGATGTGATAATTTCAACAGGATGAACGTCACAATAATTAAAACTTGCATTTAAAATATTTGCATGTATAACTCCATAACAACATGTACTAGGCATTGCATTGATTTATCTACTTTTTTTCATAGTCAAAATTGAACATTAAAAGAACTTGAATGCTTAATTGTTAATACTTCAAACTAGAGGCTCCAATGAGCCTGTATCACTAACCTTGCATATTATGCATATCATTCATTATTGTTTCTTCAAGATTTCAAAAAAAGATATAGTGTGTTAGGATTAGATATAGAATAAATTAGTTAGGGAAAAAACATTATTTTGTAGGAAATTTTTATATACTTAGATACTGTTCAATTTGTTTAGATTTTGATAATGATTCTTAATAATTGTAATATGAAACTGAACATCTCCACCAGTTTGCCTGTGAATTAGGTAAGGTTTAGATTACGATCGGTCAAGGTCAGCATGGTCACTTCATGATCAGGTTCAAGATCAAAAAGAAATGATTATAACAGGATGCTGTTACGAAGTCTCCCAAACGAAGCTCCTATAATTCGTCATTCCCAGGTCTGACATTGGACAAAGTCCAGTAAAAATTGGTTTGGTCCAGTAAAGTGATATGCATTAGTGACATCTGGGGACTGACCCTGTAATTCATTCAAATCTTCGAGAAATGACGAACAGGAATATATATGGTTTAGGGGTGGAGAACTTGACCATTTACAAGATATTTAAACAAATTCAAATGACAGGGGGTGGGGATGACCCCTTGAGTCTCACCCCTTATACCATTCAAATCTTGGCATGACAAACCAGAATATATATGGTTTAGGGGTGGGGATCTCAACCACTTACAAGATATAAGAACATTTGAGTGTGGAGGAACCCTGGGGACCCACCCTATATATCATTCAAATCTTTGTGACATGATGAACAGGAATATATATGGTTAAGGGGTGGGGATCTCAACCATTTACAAGATATTAGAACATTAGGGGTGGGGGAACCCCTTGGGGACCTCTCCTATATATCATTCAAATTTTGTGACATGATGAACAGGAATATATATGGTTTAGGGGTGGGGATCTCAACCATTTACAAGATATTAAAACATTGGGGGTGGGAGAAACACCGGGGGACTGACCCTATATATCATTCAAATCTTTTTGACATGACGAACAGGAATATATATGGTTTAGGGGTGGGGATCTCGACCATTAACAAGATATTTGAATATATTCAAATGACAGGGGGTGGGGATGACCCTTGGGTCTTACCATGTATATCATTTTAATCATCTTGGCATTGCAAACCAGCATATATATGATTTAGGGGTGGGGATCTTGACCACTTTAAAGATATTTGAACTTTCTCAAATGGCAGGGGGTCGGGATGACCCCTGGGGACTAACTCTGTATATCATTTAAATCATCTTGGCATGACAAACTAGAATATATATGGTTTAGGGGCGGGGATCTTGACCACTTTAAAGATATTTGAACTTTCTCAAATAGCAGGGGGTCGGGATGACCCCTGGGGATTAACCCTGTATATCATTTAAATCATCTTGGCATGACAAACCAGAATATATATGGTTTAGGGGCGGGGATCTTGACCACTTACAAGATATTAGAACTTTCTCAAATGGCAGGGGGTGGGGGTGACCCCTGGGGACTAACCTTTTATTTCATTTAATGTGCTTTATCATTTAGAACATTTTCAATTATAAAAATTGTGTCTATCACTAATTGTTTTCAAGTTATAATCATTTGAAAATTTAAAAAAATCAAATCCCATAGGGTTCTATAGTAAACCCCTCCTTCCTTTTTGCACCTCAAAGTACCCCTTTATAAACCCCATTGCACAAACAAAATCCTGATTGCACCACTAGACATGTAAGTCTAACATATTTTTAATCTGACCAGCAGTTTTGGAGAACGGGTACGGACAAGTTCAAATTTAAAAGCGGCGGAAGAAGAAGAGGAAGAGGAATTACTGACCGTGCAAGGGCTGTATAGCCAGTCAAGGTCGTTAAAAACTACCATATATAGGAAGAGGAAGAAGAAGAAGAAGAAGAAGAAGAAGAAGAATAATAATAATAAAAATAACTGTGCAAAAACAATAAGTCTTCCCAAACTTCGTTTGGGAGAGTTAATAATCATTAGTTATTAATAGTCTAATTGACAGATGAGGATAAAGTAAATGATATCTGTTCACATGCATCTAGTGGCTCTACCATTCTAACAATTGAAATAACTGCTCCTGGACTCTATTTTTCGATTTGTCAAGAAGTGATGATTTTTAATTTGGGCAGAAAAATATGTGGGACTGAAAAAGAAGCAGAAAGCAGTTTTTGACAGAAGATCTTTAATTAATGAAATGAAAAGACACAGTTACCATTATAGAAATTGCTCGGACAGTAAACGCCACCTTAAATAATTTCATAGTTTATTTCAACTTTAGTTGGATTTACAGTGTAAATTTCTTAATTTGTGCAATATAATTCATCAAGTATTAATTCTGGGTCATTCATTTGTGCATAAATTAGAATCTTTTTTATATGAGAATTGTGCAAATAACTTATATTACTTAGGTTTCGATTGTACAAAAATCTGTTCAATTTCCAGGTTTGGATGGAGTTACATTGCCTCACTGTTGAATAAGTATTCAGAAAGTAGATATTATGAAATGTTTTTTTTACTTTCAAGCCAGATTCAGTATTTATGAAAATTGGTGGTCATGACTTGGCAAGCGAGAATGAACCAGAGAAATTAGTGTGTAATTCTCTGTTTACTGTTAATTCAGAAATTGTTGTGATGCTTTTACTAATCGGAAAAATGGGTCAGTATTAGGTTCCATTAATAAAATCTCCTTTCCTTCACCAAATGTTTGCAATAGCATTTATTAGATCTCACGTCTTCACCAGTAATCAGTGATTCGCAACAATAAATGCAAGCATTAATTTCTGAATTTACAGTATTTAATTACGGTGTATGATCATTGGGCAATAACCGAACGTTCAATTAAATGATGAAGGTATGAACATCTATGCCAAAAGTATTAGTGCAGGTATTTAATCAGTAAAAGTGATCATGTTGCTTACCAGAGTGTCACAAAGAAAATTTTAGAAATTGACCCTTCTGGATGATTCAAGCCATTTTTTCAAATTGTCCTTTTTTTATATAACAGATGTCTAATATATTAGTTTTACACAGACGAAAATCACAATCTTGAATATCACACAGGTTATATATGTAGTATTATAAGTTATTATTACTACAGAGCACATGCATGATACTCAGTTTCCAGCCTGCACATTACAAGCTTATATGTACTTTAATTTCAACGGAAAGTTTAAGGTCTTGATCTGTTTTCTTAAATGAACACTAAGTCTTACATCAAAAAATGTAAAATCTATCTCTTTTCCCTTGGACTTGGAATTTGACAGGTCCAGAAAATTTATAACCATTATTGGACACTGATGAGGAAAGTCTCAGACCTTGCAGCTTAATTGGATATTGATTAAAGATTATGACAGATAAGTGATATATCTGAGGTTATTCATTTTAAAAGAAATTAAAACTCTAGGCTAAAAACACTGCAAAAGTACCATTTTGTAATGGTTAATACTCACCCTTGATTGGGGTAATGACCTGTCACCTGTGGGTGATACCGGGGAGTTTGTCTTGTCATCTTTTGCTGGTATGGGTTTCTTAAAACCAAAACCGACAGGTTTAGGAGTAATATCTGGCTTGACACCTTTAGCTAAAGCTATTAAAGTACAACAGCATTCATTATAAGTCATGCAGTATAGGATAGAATGTTAAAAGTTAAATTTCTATTTAGGCTCAGGATAGGAAATCTGGAAGTGTTTAAGGTCAAACGTTCTGAAAATAAGAGAAAAATATTTATGAGACAGCTGATTCCACTTGTAATATAACTAATAAAAATCAAAATTAGTCAAGATAAACCCAGTAGTTGAGATAGGCACATTAGTTTCAAATTTTGTAAACCAAATGTTGAAAAAACAACCAAATAACCACATATCTAAATTTTGAGAGTGAAAAATTTAATGATCTTGCATTCACTTGAATTTGACCAGTTTATCCAATTTCATAGAATGTTAATGCTAGTTTATTCTTAGAAGTGGAACCAACATGTAGAATGAGATATAGTCTGTCTTTCTGACTGATATGAACAATAAACACGTTTTGGAGGAATCTGTGAATATTTGTCTCAAGATACAGGACTGGAAATAAATCCCTGAAAAATATATAGACAAGAGCAAAGGATTAATGACAACATGCTATAGATAATACAGTGTCACCAGTCATGCAAACAGAATACACAGACATAGAAAGCTACCAGTTTTGGTGGAATCCTCTGATTTGAGACTTCTGGATGCTCATCCAGGTAGGCATGCAGAAACGACTTCTTATCTGTTGGTCTGGTATTTGGTACTGGACGAGTTGGAGGAAAATTTCTTCCAGGTGGCTGTTGGGAAACACTTTCTTTCTTCTGAGCCATAAAACTTGGTCCAGTATGATTATGTGAGCCATTCTTGTCTGATGACTCAGAACTCCTTCCAAATTTTAAAGGTGATGGCTCTCTCTTTGGTGGTTGTAAAGGAATATTGCTAGTAACTTCTTTTTCTACAGTTTCTGCTGGTCTATTTACATGTTTTAACTTTACCTGACTTAAAAAATTTGAAGAGTCATTTTGCTCATCCGAAACACGTGAAGGTTTAAGTGGAACATTTGGTCTCTTCTTGGCAACAGGTTTGGGAAAGCGACCACTGGGAACATCGGAAGGTTTCACTGGTAAAGGTTTATTAAGACTAGGTTTTATTGGTTTCCTAGCATCATCACTGTCACTACTACTATCTGTAAACAAAATACCAATGACAAAATTTAAGGGACGCTTAATACATTGTATGAAACCTACATTACCTCAGTGGTTGCTTTTTGACTGTTTTAAAACAATAAAACATTGATTAAGTGTACAGTCTGATCATACCTGTATAAATGTGATATGTTTACGGGTATCTAATTTTGTCAATATTCATTTCTACGTTTTCTTAGGTGCACTGAAATCTACATTATATGTTCTCTCTGCACACATGAGAAATAGGAAATCATAAAAATCATCAAATAGAGTATAAAAGACATATGATTAAAAAACATATATCTATCCTTCCTGATGAAGGTAAAGCCAGAAAAGTTCTTCAGACTAATGAACTTTATAAAGTGTTTATTTCATTTCATATAATTCATTTTTTTAAACTTGTAGAAATGGAGCAAGCATATGTATAAATACTCAAGCATATGTGTAAATACCCAAGCATGTTTAATTAAAGTCTATTTTCCTCAATTTTTAAGCTATAAATATGTGTTCACTTGTAGACCTCTCTATACTTTTAAGCAATTAAAACTAAACTTTTTAATCAAAACACAAATAAAAATAAACTGTTTTTGATTATTAATCAAAGCTGCATGTAGTAAGTGGGCATGTTAGACAATAACAACTCATCTTCACACTCAGGGTATATACATGTATCATGATATCCATGTCTACATGTATGTTCAACCAACCTTCCATCTGTCCATTGGCTGTAACTGAGTGTTGCTTTTTTTTTTTAATGGATTCCAATTTTCATTCACTCAAAATAATCTATTCATGATGTAACTTTTTTTTTTTAAATAGTTAATTTGAAAAAGTTTCCCCCTAGTCATCAATAATAAAGAACAGTAAATAAACTGTGGTTCCATCTATTTTGAGGGTACCGTTTTTCATACAAGGAGACACTATTTTGACAAAGCACACTTAAAACTCATTTTCAAAATCATAGGTGACACAAAATCATATTCCTACAAAGCAGATAATAAAATGATTCATCAATAAGGTAAATATTTATAAAACACCATCTAAAAAGCAAATAACTACAACAAAGTCTGCCTCGTCTAACATTTCCTCCTACAAAGCCTATATCCATTATTATAATGTATCATAGTCAGTTTGTTGTTTCACAAGAACCGCTCTTTTTACACACAGTGCATTATATTGCACATATATTTCAATGTCTGCTGGCAATTGGTTATATTCACATGAGCTAGAAAAATTATAAGTAAAAGCTTGATGGCTCTGAGGAAATGACTATTGTTTCTATTGATTTAATGGTTCTCCTCACAAAATGTTTGAAAGGGCACAAAATTTAATGCATAGTGATTCATTTAAGGGATGTATGTTGCAAACTCCAATCATGTTAAATTGCAAAAACACTACAAAATGAAAAAAGCTTTTCAAAATATATGTTAATGAGTTTTTGGTAATAAGATCGTTTTTCAAAACATCTTGAATAAAATTAAATATTAAACCAACAAACTCAAGTGTAAAGGTATATAGCACTGTTCATTAATTCAGAAATAATTGTGTTGTTTTAATGCAAAAGATTCCACGGAATAAACATGTCAATAATCAAACTTGATTTTGATTTTCTATTCAAGTGCACATAACCTGTACTTATCACACAAATTGTAGGTTGTCAACAATACACACAAATAAATGCAGGTACGTAAATTCTGAGTTTACATTATCAACATAAAAAAAACCTTTCTTGTGAAAGCAACATACTGAGAAATTTCTATATCTACATGCTTTACTTATAAAGTGCCCCAACTTTATACATCTATTTATCTCTGACATTTTCATGTCCTATAGCCATCATATACCCTTCATACTTAATATATTCTATATCTAATACAGATAAACTTAAAATACAGATAACAGGGGGAAATCTGGGTACTAACTATAAGAATGCACTTTGTGATGTGGGTGGTAATATACTGAACAAACAAAAAATAAAGATAATCAGTTTATATTTTCAAATGCAAAAGTTTTGTTTGAATTTAGTACTTACAAAACGCAGCTGCAATTAATTTAATTGAAAGATAATTTAAGAAGAACTTTTAACTTCTTGAAACATTAAAAGACTTTGGGTACTTTTAATAAAAACAAATAATGATAAAGGGTTGTTCTTTCATTTATTTCTTTATTCTGTATTTTTTTTCTTACTTTCTCTGCATAATTTTGAATACAAAAGGCATAATTTTAACAATTTTCTGTGACTCAAAATGCAAAATATCAAATTACAATAACAGAAATAAAGTTTTACACATCAGTTTATCAAAGTTGAGCAATTTGCATGTATAAAAGTTGGTAATGACAAAAATGTAAAAAATCTATCCTATCTTGCAATTCAATTTACTGGTTCTCATCATTCTACAGACAACAAAGAAACCATTGCACCAAACTTAATTCTACAATTCAAAAGTTTACCTTTTTTTCAGTTTAAAAAAAAAAACGCTGAAACATTTTGTAGGATTAGACAAAGGAATTTTTTTTTATTGCATTTCAATTATATGGTATGCTCGATTCTAAGGTTTTATCAAAATTTTGCATAAAAGCATTTTGAGATTTGTATTTTGTTGAACATTTAAATTTTTTGTGGTTAACCTTCACCAGAGAAATTCCACAAAAATTGGGGACCCACATGTGATAATAAATCCAAATTGGGGACCTACATGTGATAATAAATCCAAATTGGGGACCTACATGTGATAATAAATCCAAATTGGGGACCTACATGTGATAATAAATCCAAATTGGGGACCTACATGTGATAATAAATCCAAATTGGGGACCCACATGTGATAATAAATCCAAATTGGGGACCCACATGTGATAATAAATCCAAAGTGCAAATTGCCATTCTAGCAGGAAACTGTGTATATAATAGAAATCTTCTCAATATCTCCTAGGATTTTACGATAATGTGAAAAGTTATCAGGACAGAGTTAGTTAGGTTACTTCAACAACCTGTGTTAGTATTCAAATTGCAAATTTCAATTCAAGAAATCTGTGGATAACAGTTTCAGAGCAGAACACATTTTCAGTGGAATATAGATAAGGAAAGGTTTTTGATATTATAATCATTAAACCAGGTTGTAATTACTTTTATTATAGGACATATTCAAACATTAAGTTCAGCTATGATTAACAGTTGTGTATTAGAAAAGGCTTCTCATGAAAACACACCATTATTCTATCAGTAAAAATTTAAAGGGAGTCAATACAGTTTAAGGGGAAATAATTGCTAAAGGATGAATAAATCTTAAACGGTCCATTACATTTGCACATAAAAATCGTTATGTTTGCGAACAGCTTTTTATTACATATGCGCTCATTCATTGTACAGGTAAAAAAGGTAAAATATAATCAATGGATTGTGTTTTTTTTTGCTGTGCATGTACTGATTTTGTGTCATGGATGGATACCCTATATCCTTTGTTTTTCTATTATTCATTTATTTCTATTTACAGTTTTTATTGTGCCTTTGCAATTCTTTACTGTGCATCTCCATGAAACAGTGCGTTCACGTTTCTCCAACATTTGATAATTCAGACTAAAACAACATTAGGGATTAGGGGGTCCTCTTAAGGACTGGCATCTTGATATTAACCTGTAATTCACCTGTTTCAGTTCTTAACTAAAATATTGTAAAAAGGAGTATTGTTTAAAGATCATATATATTAATACATTAACAAAACATATTTACAATAATTGGTTTTTCATATATTTTTGGTTGAATATAACCAGAAAATGTTACGTAATTATTTTTATATGTGTTTGAATTACAAAATTAAAAAGTTATTCCACAAAAAAAATCCATAATAATCAAGAAAAATTCAAACATTCCTCCTTCAACTGTGAAAATTTCATAAAAATTTATCAAGAAATAATCTCAAAATGATTTTTTACTGAAAATAACATAAAAAATCGAAATGTTCATTGACTACCTCATTTTAGTAATTTATTCTATAACTTGATATGTTTTTGTATTTGTGTTATGTAGATATCCATATCTAAAACGATGTGCAACAACGAAGGTTTATGTACGTATATAGTCATCGAAAGCTGTTGTCTTCTAGTGCGAGGAACCATATATCATCTACCTGGTTGTTCTGTCTGTATATCATAAGAGCCGAAGTCAATGTTCCTGGTATGCTGTCTTAAGCAGATGGAATGGTCAGTTGTATATCTGTTCACTTTTTCCACGAAAAAGGGAGAATACAAATTGGGCATATTACGAAGTGAACTGTAGGGTGTTTAATTGTGGGAACTGGCTTGTTGAATTGTGAGCTACAAGCATTCTCGATTTGTCACGTAAGCTTTGGACAATTAATGCAAGCTGACTAAGAAATTTAAATATACTACATCTTTGATAATAGCAGCGTTTGATACTTTTATATAAGCTTAATGACTCAAGCTATATAAATTCTTAAAAGCTCTCAGAATATAAGATGTTTATTTTTATTCAAGATCGCAACATTGTAATCAATAATACATTATTATGGAAAATGAAGAAAAAAAATATGAAAATAAAGTAAAATTAAAATTTACATCACTGTACTAGATGATATCGACTTTTAAAATCTTTGAAAAATATTTTTTTTAAATATGAAAAACCAATTATTGTAAAAAAAAAAATGTTTTGTTAATATTTTACAATAAATCTTTAAAAAATACCCCTTTTAACAATATTTTAATTAAGAACTGAAACAGGCGAATTACAGGTAAATACCAAGATGCCAGTCCTTAAGAGGACCCTCTAATCCCTAATGTTGTTTTAGTCTAATTATCAAATGATCGAGAAACGTGAACAAACCTATGAAACATCCGCTGACTTAAGTGTTCTATCCATACGGAAAGAAAATCAACTGTACACTAAAGATTTTTTTCCTGATGGGTTTCTGACAATCGGAACTCCATGTTTGTACATTGACACAACTCTAAAAATTACATAACATATTTACTAAAGCCATCACTATGGTATTTCTCATGATCGCTTAATATATTTTTCTAAAATCATAAATATGTTCAAAATTAATATCTTTCGACAAAATTTATTATGAATGATCTTCATATTTACCTGTGTTACCTTAAATTGAGCGCAAATGTTATAAAAAGCTGCGCACAAATGTAAAAAAATTTAATCCCCAAATATGCACAAATGTAATGTGCCCATTTCAAATGTCCGCTTGTTTTCCAGTTTTATCTATAATGATGTAAAATTAAAACTCTCTAATCTTGGGAATAAACAAAATTGGAAAACGGAACACTGTGAAAAATTACAAAGCTAATAAGTTACAAAAGAGAAAATTTATTTATTTCAAATAAATTGGAAGAGAATTAAGTTTTCCTTTTTTGTTTTTGAACTGAGTTGTTGTTTACATTTATAGTGAATTTATAATTTGCCAGAGACATTATTTAACTTTTCAGAATGTCCTTAAGTCAGCAATAGAGGACCAAAATTTATTTATATTGTTTTGTTTTTTTTACACAGTTTTACCTAAAGCTTGAAAAACTACTCAAAGGTCAGTAAATACTTCGATTGCAGTATAAGGGAAATAACAATACTAGCATGCAATGTTGTTTTTTCCCAAATTTGAATTACAAGAGCCTAAATAAATATCAACTTGCAAATTGAGTAATATTTGTTCTATTTTTTCAATTAAGGTTCCAATAAAAGTGCTGGTGGTGAAAGCAGGTTGTTATTTAATGGTGTTTTAATTGCAGTTCAAATGCTTTGTTTAAGGACGTTGAAATAAAATACAACAAAGAAAAGGTGAGAATAGTCAGACTTACGTGTAGGTGGACCTAAATATATAACAATAAAGCTTGCATATCCTAAATATCCTAAATATAATCGTAGAATACAATATTCTGAACATAGATTGTTTTGCCTTTTTTTATAATATAAGTCTGATTATAACAAATAATAATTCAACAAAGATATATGATGTTTGATTTGTCGCCAATTCTAATAAAAGCCAGCAAAAATTTAGCAAAAATATGAGGTCTTGTACGTAAAAATAAAAACACATCCTAGCTAATTCTGTTAATCAAATAAATGAGGAGAGTGCAAAAGAAAACAAACTCAGTGTACAATATTTCCCACAACTAAAAATGTACTATTGTGAAGTATTTTTTACTTAAAAGAATAGGAGTGTACAGAATTCTATGACCCCAAAAAATCCTACCATTGGTCGTTTTTAACCTTGCTACTTTACATACAACATTTATCAAGCTGTGCTGATATATTACCTTAACACTAACATAAAACATTTTGCAATATATAATAAAATGTTTTAGCTTACCTTCTCTCTCCTTGTTTTTAAAGAAATTGAATTTTGCTTGAAGTTCATTATGATCTGTATACTGCTTTGGTTCTTTCTTTTCAGGTTCTTTTTGCGGGACACTGACTTTTTTTAGTCTGTCTTTTATATTGAGAATGTCTCCCATTCCTATAGCAGGCATACCCATACCAGTAGGTTTTGGCACTGGTTGTTTCTTTTCTATATTCCTAGGAGCTAAAGTACATTATTCTGATCATAACAATATTACAAAATCACCATAGGTGCATAAGCCAAGTTGTTATATGAATGTAATTGCCTGACTTGGCATAGCAGTTGTCATATGGTAATTGTAATGATTGTATCAAGACAATTTTGTTAATTCAAAATGGAAAAATAACTATATCAATGTCCACCTTTCATTACAATAAATTCATAGAACATTACAATTTTTTTTTAGGTTGCTGATCATTTAAAACAACAATCAATAAAATATGAAAGAGGGGGGGGGGGGGTATAAAATATTCACTTCTTTTTATGTAAGTCATACTTAATTTGTTCCCTCTGTTTGTTGGCACTAGACGTTAAGCAAACAACAATCAATCAATCAATCAATCTGATTGTAAGCTTTACATCTCATGTCTGTAATGATTTCAATGTCCATATACAATGTTGTACACACTATTGACTTAATTGAGGCATGAACTTTAGATATAACATTAAGAAACAAAATATGTAGGACACTCTTAGTTTAATAATAAGTTTTCTGTTAAACTATCTATTTCATTCAGAAAAACTGGTCATCTCATCTTTCCGAATATACATTTCTACAATTTTTTGTGTGTGAAGAAAACATAGAAAACAGCACTTTACTATAATTATAATTAAAAGCTGACATTACTAATAAATACATACGAGGTGGTGCATCGTCTCTCTTCTGTTTCTGAAATAAAATTTAGCGCACATACAATATAATGAAATTTTACAGAACAACATCATGAAAAAATTTTTTACACATTTAATTTTAATTGTGAAATTTACTGACAAAAAAAACATTTACTGGGGTTTTTTTTCCATTACAAATTTATAAAAATTAACTAAACTGATGATAGTTATGCTTCATAAAGTATATATCATTGTTCAGGAGAGTCAAACTGATGATAGTTATGCTTCATAAAGTATATATCATTGTTCAGGAGAGTCAATACAGTTTCACATTGTATTGCTATTTTTGTGATTTTGATATTAAGTTGTAGAATGAGATGAGAACTTTAAATAAAACATTGAATAATTAGGATAGCAATTATAAATTGATGCAAAAATTTCTTAATTTACAGCAGTACAAAAGCAAATAAACCCCTGTAAGAAACCTTCATTTCATTGCAGAAATTCCTGAAAATTTCTGAGTCATAAACATATATCTTAGGTGTTTTAAGGAACCATTCTTTTTATTTGGTGTTTCTGTAAAATATTTTAGAAACAAGAGTGAACTAGTTACCGATGCTTGTAAACATGAAAAAAAAGTAGAGAAATTGCCTTGTTGACTTCCAGCAAAGGCTTTTTTCTTACATGCAATGAAACATTGTGTGAAATGTTCACTGTAGTACTGGAAAAGACTTAACTTTATTCAGGCAATATATTTCTTTATTTGACAATATTTGTAGCAAAGGTAAATTCTGTACAATTTTTGAAAACTGTTTGAAAAATTTAACATAGAAAAGTAGGAGTAAAACTTAAAGTGTTATACCCTGATGACAAAAGGCATTTAAAATCAGGTTTAACCAAAAACCATACATCGAAGGAAAACTAAAGGGACATAAACTCACCAATTCTAAACATGCAACAAACACATTTTTACCATAAAGTACGTACAATAATTGATGCAAATAATTTTTTCTAAAATAATATCTTTCTGTAAATAACCACAAAGAAACAAGGTTATACCTTTTCTCAAACAAGTAATTGATCCTGTTATATTTCTGGAAGATTTGGGTAACAACATATTTGGTGAGTTTGAATTATACCATTTCTGTATAAAAATTGTGTTAACTTCTTTTGAATGCATTAAACATGTTAAAAGAATCTAATGTTCATAAAATTCTTTGCAAAGACTTAAAATTTCTATGCAAAGACATAAAAATGCTATGCAAAGACATAACAATGCTATGCAAAGACATAACAATGCTATGCAAAGACATAACAATGTTATGCAAAGACATAAATATGCTATGCAAAGATGTAATAAACAGCTGCACTATGCCCTTATTGTGCATATCATGAAAAATTAACTAAAATCTGACAATTAAAATCCCATAACTCTGGAGGGACAAACCAGAAACTTAAAAAAAAAAATCAAATGTGAGCTTCCTTTCATCAATTCCCACAATATAGTGAAGTCTGGGTGAAATCAATCTAGGAATCCTGGTGTTAAGAGTGCGATTTGTGAAAAATTGCATTAAATGTAAAAGTTAAAGTTTCATAACTCTAGAACGACACACTGAAAAATTCTAAAAATTGCAATGGAGCTTCCTTTCATCAATCCTCACAATAATATAAAGTTTGGAGGATATCAATTAAGGAATACTGGAGTAAGTGCATGATTTTTTAAAAATAGCCTTAAATTCAAGGGTCAAAGTTCCATAACTCTGGAATGACAAAGTCAAATCAAAATAATTGGAAGAGAGCTTTCTTCCATCAATTCTAATGTTGTGTTAAAGTTCTTTGATAATTGGTTAAAGCGAATTTGAGTGATTGTACGAAGTGTTGTTAGACGGACAGACATTAGTATACCAGAATACGTCCCGTCTTTGACAAGTGTATAAAAATACTATGCAATGACATGAGTATATACTAATTTATTGATGACAAAATGCTAAAATAACTAAAACTTTCTTCCCTGGTGAAGAAATGAACCTAAAAGAAAAGGCTCAAAACAAAGTTATGTAGACTTATTTAAACTTGATATAGCTTCCTTTTTCGATTTTATTGCTAATGATAGAGAAGATTTATAAGGTGTTTATATTCTGTGTTATCAGACTTGTACTGCTTTTTCCATTACAATCTTGTTTACTATTTCTATGCAATTATTAACACTACCCAATGCTTACAGGTCTTGGTGGTGGAAGTGCTGGAGCTGCTGCTATTGGAGGGGCTGGGGCCGGAGGAGGTGGTGCCTCATCATCAGCAATCTGTAAAAAAAATTGTAAAAATCTATAAACATGATAAATATTTGTGATGAAAAGCTGTGATAGTATATTTTTTTTTTCGATTTTAACTGACATAAAAGTCTGGATACTTTACAGTATAAATGCCATAACAGAATCATCATATTAGGTTGAAGGTAATGTAATTTATTGAACTATCTGACCTTTGATCTTTCTTAGTATAAATGTGTTTAAAGTATACACCTATTAGATTTGAATTTGACTACTGCTGAAATATTGCATAATTTTTATAATTTTTCTTTTAGAAATGGTTGGCAATGAATGTGCTGGTTGTATGATAAATCCTCACAACTTAGTGACAATGTACATATTTTACCTGATACAATTCTTCTGATACTGCTGCTCCTATGTCACATTCCTGGTACTGAAAGTGTCAGAAATTAATATAGAATTAATTCTCAAAGTGGGATTAATTACAATCTCTAGCAATCTTTGTTTCTCATTTCAACCTAACTGACCAAAATACTGGAAACTTCAGTATAAAAAATACTAGCATTACCAAACTATCCAGTTTTCTATGTGTGCAACAAATATTTTGAAAAATACAGCCGTGTTCATAAGTTTCTAAAAGACATACCTTTAGTGAAAAATTCTACAGAAGTTACTGATACATGAACTCGAAAAACACTTGTCACCTTAAAAACACTTTGAGAGGTCATTGGTAGGCTTTTATAATATTGTTCCTGAGAAAATTTTGAAGAAAATATTTGTTTTCATTCAACATATTGAAAAATTCAAAGATTCAGCAAGAAGGTGCCAGACAGAACCAAAATGTGCTCACACTTTACTCATCTTAATCAAGCTGCTAGCCAAATATGAAGTCATTCTGTTCAATATATAGTGCCTGAAAAAAGTGTAACAGAAATATTTGTTGGACAAATGAATAAAGGAAAGGACAGACAAACAAATAAGGTGATTGCAGATTTGCAGTATACCTACAAATAATCACACACCTAGGTGAAGCTAATACCAGTTACTTGTATGTTTCACAGAGTAAGATAATCTTTGTTGTCCTAATTTTGTTTTTACATGGTTCACAAAATTCTGGAAATCTGTAGTTGGCAGGAAATTCATGCCTCTTTTTATAAAATCTTTTAAGAAGCAGATCTATGATTTGATGGACACAGTGACCTTGTGTGAAAACTGGAATTATTCACCTCCAGAAGCCACAATACAAAGAGTTCTTTAGGGTTCTGCTAAATTGAGGAAAATTTAATTTGCTCTGATTCTTCAATAATAGAACCACATATTTGATAATACTTTAGCTTCTAAACAAACAGCATACTTATCCAAGTTAACAAATATAGACAAAGGACTCAATGAAAATATTAGTATTACCATTTTTACAAAAAGAAGCATATAAATGTCACACACTGCACAACAAGAAGTTTTGAGTCGAGGAAAAAAAAAGAATACCATAATTAAAATATCACATCTGTTAGCAATCATACAGATACAGTAACTACATTGTTATGTCATCATAACCAGTAAATGATTGTAAATCTTTATATTTTATTCATGTGGAATTGAATATTTGTAGTAAACTTCAAAATGGTATCTTGACCACAAGCTCCAATTATCATTTTGTCCATATACACTGTGTCTAAACTACCCCGGCCAAAAATGTTTGGACTCGATAGTATCTAATGTCCGGTACGGTGACGGACAATCAACAGACAGAGAAAAGGTAGAATTTCTGTTTATTTATTTGTTATTTAATGACATTGAAGAATAAACATACACATATAACTATTTTCGATTGTGTGATGTAATATTTTCTACAACCGTTCTAGATTAATGGAGAAATAAGTAAAAAGGCACACGAAAATGGTGAATTGAGTGAACATTGCTACGAATTTGTTTAATTTCTCTTTAAATTGTGCACATTGTACGGAAAGAAAAGTACGGAAAGAAAGATATTAACACAGAGATTGCATGGCTAGTCACTATGAGCACCTCAATATTTGCATTTCTATGCATGGAACGAAATAAATGGGTCATGTCAAAATGGAAGGACCCTGTTTCGTCAATGTTGTTTATTACACAAGGACCCTGTTTTGTCTCAGTATAGGACCCGGTTTTGTTTTGTTTTGAAACCACAAATTTATGAAAAGCTACGTTAGCACGGATCTGGACATTGCCCATCGGAAGAAATTAAATATTTGAGTCAAAAAGATGTTATAAAGATGTTATTGCAATACAAACATGTGTTAAAATATATTTCAAACGGGAACTTTTCGTAATAGGGAGTAGACATTTTTGAATGCTATACGTATACCTTATTGATCTTTTCTTCGAACTAAGTTTAAATGGAAATAAATACTTTATATCATGTACCTACATTAATTCCTTATGATAGAAAAAAGAAGATGTGGTATGATTGCCAATGAGACAGCTCGTCACAAGAGATCAAATGACACAGAAATTTACAACTATAGGTCGCCGTACGGCCTTCAACAATGAACAAAGCTCATACAACATAGTCAGCATTAAAGGCCCACCAAATGACAAGTGTAAAACAATTCAAACGAGGAAACTAACGGCCTAATTTATGTACAAAAAAATGAACGAAAAACAAATATGTAACACAGCAACAAACGACAACCACTGAAATACAGGCTCCTGGCTTGGGACAGGTAAATATATACAGAATGGGGCGGGGTTAAACATCTTAGCGGGATCCCAACCCTCCCCCTAACCTAGGAAATTGGTGTAACAGTACAACATAAGAACGAACTAATAAAATCAGTTGAAAAAGGCTTAAGTCATCAGATGGATACAGATAGAAATACATCTCAAAAATGTTTGTTTGTTTTCTATACTACTGTAATGATGTAAAAATAAGAAGATGTGGAATGATTGTTTTACCATATCAATTTTATCAAAAGAGTAAGGATAGTATGCTTTACTACACTATACGCTATGTTCACAAAATATTTACTCATTCGTTCATCCATTGACGGACAGTGAGAGAAAAAGCTCCGTTTTGAAGGCCGTACTTTGACCTATAATGGTTTACTTTTACAAATTGTGACTTGGATGGAGAGTTGTCTCATTGGCACTCATACCACATCTTCTTATATCTATTAGAACGTTTTGGATATCTCAATCAAAATGGTTGCCTTTCGAACGTGTATTTTATGTCCGCTTCGAAATACACAAGTTCTAAACTTCCCCATTAGAAACAAAATAATTCTATCATGCCATGCTCTACGCTCATTTTAACATAGGTAGACATTATATTTGTCAATATTTTATACCTGGCTAACGCTTGGTTTAAAAATTTTAACAAATATAAAGCCTTCCTATGTTAAAATGAGCATTGAGCATGGCATGAAAGAATTATTTCTTTTTATAAATAAAAGTTGGTTTGCATCATTATAACGTCCAATATCTTCGTCTTCGTCTTCGTAGAACAACCTAATAGGCAATTTAGCCCGTGAAAAATGACAATGAGACAACTTTCCATCAGAGACCAAATGACGTATAAGTTAACAAATATAGAACACCGTATGGCATCCAACAATGAGAAACGTCCATACGGCATAGCAAGCTAAAAAAGGCCCCGAAAAGAAAACTGTAAAAAAAAACTAATGTGGAAACTAACGACCTAGATTTATGTACAAAATAAAAAACGAAAAACAAATACATGTATGATATATAGCAACAAAAGACAACAACCGATTTACAGGCTCCGTCGGTACTGGTACATACAGAATGGCGAGGTTGAACGTATAAGCCCCCCCCCCCCCCCCGCTCCCCCTCCAAAAAAAAAAAAAAAAGTGGTATAACAGCACAACATATGACCAAACTATAAAATTCAGTGAGTTGAAAAAGGCTTAACTCATTTGATTACAGAGCCCCTATAGTAAATATGGGATTGGCGGCTGTCTCTGTTTTTTCGTCTTTTTTAAAATTTTATGATGGTATACGATATAGTTACATTATATCAGTGGCGGATCCAGGGGAGTAGAGGGAGTACGCCGACCCCCCCCTTTTTGGTGGCTAGAAATAATTATTTTATCATGTTTTTTAGGATTTATATATGATTTTTTATTAAGCATTAAATCGTTAAAAAAAAGTTCCCCTTGCTACGCTCGGCGGTATAAAATCCATTTATGAATACGTCCCTTTCAAAAATCATGGCCTTGGTCCGCCCTTGCATATTGGCAATTTTAAACTTGACCAAATTGCTTAAATTGTAGAACATTTGTCAATGTACGATAATCATTATACAATGAAGAGATAAATCTATATATAATAGTTGTACTATATAGGGCAGTTGTTAACAACTTGATACTAGTGCATTAAAGAATTTGTTAATGCTAAAAAAAAAAAAAAAAAGAGAGATGAAACATCGTTTATTTATATAAATTACTAATCAAATAATCATTATTGCAATTTCCGGATGGACTAAGACTTTTATACTAATTTATACTTAGTATTATTATAACAAGGAGGGGTAAACAGATTTTTAACGCACTATTATTGTGATCCTTTGCGCCGCATGGAAATTCCTTTTCTTGGGCGATTCTGCATGCACATACATTTGTCTTATTCTCTTGCATTATAATGAACGTTTAGTTTCAGAATATTTATTTTCAAACGATTATACTGTCTTCCCTTTAAGTAGAGCGGAACACTAAGATAACCATCTTGTTGTCCCAAAAAATCACATATCAAATGTGTCCTTAAATTCTCAAGGCCGTACCCTAATTAAGTTTGAACACTTAAATTTACATAGATGATATAAAAAAAATCTAATTCCGTTTCAAAACCTTCATTTCTTTTTAATTTTTCCTTTTTTTTTTATACAAAACAAAATTGAAATTTGCTTTGTTCTAATATAGCAGGAGTTCAAGTGTTTACGGATTCAAAAAGGTAATAAGTTATCCTCTGAAAGAAAATGTTTTTCAACGATCCCTCAAACTGCGGTTGAACGCCATATTTTAATTTTCGTCATGCGATTATGCATTATTTTCTATGACAAAACCGGGTCTGCTTTGTGAAATATAAGGACAAAACCGGGTCGTACACATTGACAAAACCGGGTGCTTCAATTTTGACATGACCCACTTCTTTCATTCCATGCACAGACATGCAAATATTGAGGCGATCATAGTGAAAAGTCTTGAAATCTCCGTGTTAATATCTTTCTTTCCGTTCCTTTCTTTCCGTACAATGTGCTCAATTTAAAGAGAAATTAAACAAATTCGAGGCAGGGTTCACTCAATTCACCATTTTGATGTGCATTTTTACTTATTTCTCCATAAATCTAGAACGGTGGTAGAAAATATTACATCACACTATCGAAAATAGTTATATGTGTATGTATATACTTCAATATCATTAAAACAACAAATAAATAAACATAATTTCTACATTTCTCTGTCTGTTTATTGTCCGTCACCGTACCGGACATTAGATACTATTGAGTCCAAACATTTTTCGCCGGGGTAGTTTAGATACAGTGATATAAAAAGCTCAGACATTGCAAAAATTTCTCTTTTTGATTTTTATGGCACTGGGGATTAAAATAATATACTTTCTTATTCAAGTATTCAATGCAAATAATTTGTTGTTTATTTTTAACAAAGAGCAATTCTTTACAGGAATTTTTATATTACTGTATCCACTGGCCATAAAATGCAAGCAGAATTTTCTCACTGCGTTGAAGACCCATTGGTGGCCTTGGGCTGTTTTCTGCTCTTTGGTCGGGTTGTTGTCACATTGACACATTCCTCGTTTTCATTCCCTATTTCGTTCTAAGATCACTATGGTTTTGTTCATTTTATATTCTGGTATCTAATGCAACTGATATATTTAATATAAAAAAAAACATGATGCTTTGCAATGGAATTTTGGAGAGACAGGCAAGAAAGCAGTTTAATACTTTCTATTACCTTCCTGCATTATTCAATAATATGTCATAACATAAAAGGTGTGATGATTGGCTAGGCATGTGGATAAGAGACAAGGAAGTGCATTATCTAGGTGAGCTGTGAATTTGACTTTTGAACAAAAATCTCAAAATCAAGAAGAGTTCCTTGATTTATGGCAAATTATAATGTGAGCAAAGAAATTCTGGAGGTATTGGCTATTTTGTATGGGATTTCAATGCAAGTTCACAATGATTTTGATTCTCCAAAAGCGCTTTAGATCTACATGGGTACGGAACATAAGAAGTTTCATGATACTTGGTATGAAGAGTAAACAATGAAACTAACATAAACAAACTCTTTTATAAACAATTGCAGCAATTATTATGAATTCATCTAAGTGATCAATAATACTCCTTAAAAAATATTTTTTTTGTTTGTGGCTATTTGGGGAAATTTTGGTTCAATTTTTCAAGGTACACAGTCATGTGTTTTACCCGTTAAAAGTAAATTATCTGATCATGGAAAATTATAATTTGATTTCTTATGTTATTCTATTGTTGTTTGCCTAGAATACAAATTATTTTTTCATAACGATTAGTTATAAAGCCATCCCATGAAAAAAATTATACAACAAAGGAATCTCAAATAATGAAGAAGAAAAATATTCAAAGAAAAAAAACTAAACTAAAATTATTTGTGTTCTATGACTATTTCGAAACAACAAAACCTACACTAACTGTGTAATGTTAATTATATTCTAAAACAAAAATAATAATTCTAAAAAAGTGCTGAATAAACCTGTAATGCATGTATAGAAATAAAATAATTTGAGTATATGTCATTAGCAGGCTAAATTTAATAAAAGTAGTTGCCTTTTTTTCTTACATAAATTCAATTCTTTATCTAGCTGTATATCATTCTAAAAATCTTTCATGGAGTTACTGTATAGAATGTTCTCCAAAAATTTAGATTAAAAGCCTACTATTTATAAGATGCATGTAAATATTAATATTAGTGATTAACCAAAAAAAAAAGCCTCTACTGAAACAGTACCGATTATTGTTTCCTTGCCATACAAATATGGTTGATGTGTCTAACTTACCATTAATCCACTCTCCTATGTTAAAAAAAAAAACACCAACAAGTTTTATGGTCTCTGTTTACAACATTGCATTACTGAGAATCAACTTCAGATTTAAATATCTCTGTTTAATGATGATAACTATTTTCTACCAAAAAAATATAGTAAAAATCATCTCTTACGGGCAATTATCATACAAGGAGTTGTCGGACAGTTTTGTCAATATGGGCAGTATGTAGATCTCTTGAGATTCTGAACATATCTGCCCAATTATATTGTCTCTAACTATAAGGAATTCCAAGATACATGTACTAGATATTTTTTTATTTTTACCTCTTTTGTTCTATTTTTAGCCATGACAGTCATGTTTGACGATTATGGCTGCATTTTGGTACAATTGGCCTTTTATTTTTAGAGGAAAACATTTTTGTAAAAGTTAATGGATGAAAGACACCAAGTGATGGGAATAGCTCAATCTGAACCTGTGGGCCAGGTGAGCTAAATGAGTTGTTATTCTCTTTTCATAATTAATGGGCTTTTTCAATCTCTGTTACAGGTACATACCTCTTCTTGGGCTTCTTCAACTTCATATGTGTCCTACAAAATGCAAGAACAAAAATACAATAATAATTACTTCAACCACAAAATTTTAGCTTAAATACTATATATTACATATCCCAATAAATACTTTTGGTCTATCACTGAATTTAAAAAGCATCTTGATATTTGGTATATACATTGAATGTTTTATGTTACTTCTCTTCATATTCAATCACAGTATTATTGTTTTCATCAAATTCACTATCCTGAACATGTGTTGATTAGAATCTAAAGTGATCAGTGCCTATTTAATGCATCTATGGCAAAAAGTAATCACAGATTAACGAAAAGTGAGTGTGTCTTAACTATCTTGTACAGTCAAACCTTGTTGTGTAAATCTTGTTTTTATGTTAAACACAGATAAGTTGAGTTATAAGAACAGTCCCAGTAAAATTCAGATTTGATTTATACATTTTTAACTTATTTTCATCTTAATGGATTTGAAAACTGTGTTAGCCTGAGTATATTAATGCTAAAAGCTAATATAAATACTGAATCACATAGGTTGAAATGAGCAATTATATAAGGTTGTTTTTCACATAAAATCATATAAGTTGCTCATCTTCTATCATAAAAGTACAGTCAAGAAAATAGTAGTAAATCTGGTTTTCACAAACAATCGTTTTAATACTATTCTAACTTACAAAGTGCCATAACTCCAGTAAAAGTTCTGGAAGCTAATATACAAAATAATACTTACTTCTGCTACACCTTGAAACTCATCATAGCTTTCTTGTGGTTGCTAATGATGAAACAAACAAAAAATCCCAAATAGATTCATGTAATATAAAAGAAAAATTCTAATACATTTACTGGTATTAAGGATGTTCGCTCCTCTTGTTTTTTAATTTTTACCAGATATTCAGAATCCTCTGGTTTTATCCATGTACTGCCATTAAAAAAATTTCCTCGCTAACCCCTACTTTTCTTTTCATTTTTCATAATTTTATTACATATAGTTTAAAAAGCCCATATTTGAAAATGCTATAAAATCCTTGTTATTTTATCATATTATTTTAAAGAAAAAGAGTGCCAATGTTAAATGTATGAAAAGTCTAGAGAGAATTATTTCCCGCCAAATTTTCAATCTCGAATACAAGCACACGAACCCTTCATTTTTTTCTGCTTTTTTAGTTCCTTTATTTATATACTTTCAATTTATAACAGTCTTTTAAAAAGCTTGTTATTTTAAAACAGAGTAGCAAACATCCTTAAAAGTGAGGGAATATATAAACTATTATATAATTTTCAATATATAAGACAAAATACTTTTTGTATTCATTATATCTTATAAGGCAGTCTACAGGTATTTACAAACCAGGAAAAAAAACTATATTCAAACATTATCAATTTAATAACAAGATGATCACCCCCTTTTTTGTATCAGTATTTCTTCTGGATTTGTAGGATCAACTGTAGGCTATCTAAAAAAGTCACAAGAGTATCAACTAGAGGCTCTCAAGAGCCTGTGTTGCTCAACTGACTCTACTTTGGTTTTAGAAATCATGTAAAGATAGATAAAAATCATAACAGATACCCAAATAATGATTGAGGCCAAATTTTGATTAATATTGGTCCCGTTATTTAATAAAATATCCTGGTGGCCATCTTGAACAGTAAATCGGCAACAAAGTAGCAACTCTTGGTCAGCACTTCATAAGGAACATTCATGCCATGTTTGGTTTCATTCCATTCAGTGGTACTCTAAAAGAAGACATTTGTATGTATTTCCCATAGGGTCCTATGTTAAACTAAGCCCCCCCCCCCCCCTAGCGGCCATCTTGGATGATGGATCGACTGCAAAGTAACAACACTTGGTCAACAACTCATAAGGAACATTCATGCCATGTTTGGTTCAATTCCATTCAGTGGTTCTCTAAAAGAAGACAATTGTATGTATTTCCCATAGGGTCCTATGTTAAACTAAGTCCCCCGCTGTCGGCCATCTTGGATGATGGATCGGCTGCAAAGTAACAACACTTGGTCAACATCTCATAAGGAACATTCATGCCATGTTTGGTTCCATTCCATTTATTGGTTCTCTAAAAGAAGACATTTTTATGTATTTCCCAAAGGGTCCTATGTAAAACTAAGTCCCCCGCTGGCAGCCATCTTGGATGATGGACCGACTGCAAAGTAACAACACTTGGTCAGCATCTCATACGGAACATTCATGCCATGTTTGGTTCCATTCCATTCAGTGGTTCTCTAAAAGAAGACATTTTTATGTATTTCCCATAGGGTCCTATGTTAAACTAAGTCCCCCGCTGCCGGCCATCTTGGATGATGGATCGGCTACAAAGTAACAACACTTGGTCAGCACCTCATAAGGAACATTCATGCCATGTTTGGTTTCATTCCATTCAGTGGTTCTCTAAAAGAAGACATTTGTATGTATTTCCCATAGGGTCCTATGTTAAACTAAGTCCCCCGCTGGCGGCCATCTTGGATGATGGACCGACTGCAAAGTAACAACACTTGGTCAGCATCTCATACGGAACATTCATGCCATGTTTGGTTCCATTCCATTCAGTGGTTCTCTAAAAGAAGACATTTTTATGTATTTCCCATAGGGTCCTATGTTAAACTAAGTCCCCCGCTGGCGGCAATCTTGGATGATGGATTGGCTACAAAGTAACAACACTTGGTCAGCACCTCATAAGGAACATTCATGCCATGTTTGGTTTCATTCCATTCAGTGGTTCTCTAAAAGAAGACATTTGTATGTATTTCCCATAGGGTCCTATGTTAAACTAAGTTCCCCGATGGCGGCCATCTTGGATGATGGATCGGCTACAAAGTAACAACACATGGTCAGCACCTCATAAGGAACATTCATGCCATGTTTGGTTTTATTCCATTCAGTGGTTCTCTAAAAGAAGTCATTTGTATGCATTTCCCATAGGGTCCTATGTTAAACTAAGTCCCCCGCTGGCGGCCATCTTGGATGATGGATGGGCTACAAAGTAACAACACTTGGTGAGCACCTCATAAGGAACATTCATGCCATGTTTGGTTTTATTCCATTCAGTGGTTCTCTAAAAGAAGTCATTTGTATGCATTTCCCATAGGGTCCTATGTTAAACTAAGTCCCCCGCTGGCGGCCATCTTGGATGATGGATCGGCTACAAAGTAACAACACTTGGTCAGCACCTCATAAGGAACATTCATGCCATGTTTGGTTTCATTCCATTCAGTGGTTCTCTAGAAGAAGTTCAAAATGTAAAAAGTTAACGCCGACGACGGACGACGCCGGACAACGGACGACGGACGACGGACGCCAAGTGATGAGAAAAGCTCACTTGGCCCTTCGGGCCAGGTGAGCTAAAAAGAGGTACAAACTAAAAAAGATTGCCCCATCACCACCACAACAGGTATTTCAAGAAATACATGAAATTTTATTAGTCGATCATAATTATTCTTTGTCTGAAAGTCATATACAATGCCCATGCATGTGTTATAATTATTTAACCCATTTCTCTGACGTCAGTCTATTGTTCTTACTGTAGATTATTTTTCAAGAATCCACTGACCACAGTATTAACTTAAGAGAACTTAAATTATAACTTTAACCTTTTAACTTACGATCTTTTATCCTCTCAAAAACGAGTGGCATGTGTAGAATTCGAACCTGCGCGTATTTTCTTTATAATCAATACTCTTCAGTCTATGCATGATACCACTAGACCACGATGGCTGACATCAATCATTATATGAATAGTACTCTTAAAGCGCTTAATTGTCAATACATGTCATTTAACTGTATTTCTGTCTCATTGATAATTCACTTTTGTAATCTTAATGAAATATATATATATCTTGGTTTGTTCATGTTTATTGAGTTTTATTTTATTTTGGGTGTTATGTTTTTTTTTTAAGAAACGGGTTAAAACTACTTCTTTGACAGTAAAAACAGAAACAAAATCATCACCATTATATGAAAATGAAATATATATAATACTTTTACATGTTCTAGGATTAAAACAATATTTTGGTGCAGAAAAAAATTACAATGAAAAAATTTCATTCCGGATACTAGGTTCGAACTTTGCACTGCTAATATCACCGTTATGACATTCGTTACCAACGACTAGACGATCACGGCTATGAACAGCTTGATGGTAAATGAATGAAATCCACATACTTATTCATTGTAAGTCCGTAGCAAGAGCAATTCTGATGGGGATTCAGAATGCGTACCATAGATAAAACTAGTTTATTGACCGGTGAACGATATATGCCAAATGTAATAATGTTAAAATAATCTTAACTTAATGAAACGAAACAGTTTAAACAAAATTTAAATATAATTGTTCAATTTAAATCGTTAGCACATACTTTTAATACTGATGGAAAGCAACATGAATTTGAGCATTATCATGAAATGGCAGGTTTATGGCATCAACGCTAATAATATTTATCTGACTAAGAACGGCTTCACGGTGATTAGTCTCCAATATACCATTTCAAGTTGCTAAATATTATATAAATATTTTGAAGGTTCTAAATTTTGGTAATTAAAATTTTTTAACTTTTCAAAACAAGATAAATAAATTCTGTATATTAATATACGTCTTTTTGAATAAATTAAATATACCAAAATCTATTCAATTTAAAAAATTTGTAATGATTAAACAATAAATGAAATATGTATATACAAAAAATAAAATCTGGTGTTAAAAAGGGGAGCTAAGACCCCATTTAAGTTATTTTAAACTTATGTTAACTTGTCAAATGTCTAAATATAGATGCGAACCGTGTGGATTTAATCATTTCCAGCTATTATCGAATAAAAAAGACAAAATACGAAACTATTTTTATGAGATGTCGTTGATTCATTGTCAAAACGTAAAACAGACAGTCGTTTTACTAGAAATGGTTAAGCTAGAGAATTGATAACAAGTAGTGGATTCGGAAACGATAATCAACTTGCGACTAAAGTCGCTCGTTGATTATCGTTTACGAATCCACTACTTCTTATCAATTCTCTACTACATCATTATATAATTTGTATTCATTCTACTTTTGTGTAGTGTTAGAAATATATATATGTGCATCAATAAATTAGAAATCTACTTAATAATTCTAATCTTGCGCTTATTATAGTACTGAATAGTGCAGTTCTAATCATAATTGGTTGGGACAAAGGTACAGTTTCAATGTTTGTAAAGTTTAAGTTCTTTAAAAACCCTGTACTTTATATAAATATGGGAAATTTCCTTCAAAAAAGAAATGAGCTCAAAAACTAGTAATTTGTAAAAAACAGAAAAAATGCACATTGCTGGTATATGTACAACTGCTCTTCAAAATGAAGGTTCCATCTTGTTAACTGTAAGACAAATTTAACAGACACACCAGGAATCATAAATGGGAAATCACCATTGTAAGTTACAGAAAAAAAGAATTTAAAAACACATCCTTTTTCATTGTTTCTTAATGAGAAAAGTTTCATTGGATACTTGTTGCAGTCAACACCATCTTTTATCATTACCATTTTATTTTGGTGTGCACCATTAACCTTAGTAATTCTTACTAGCATCTACAGCTATACTACCGTGGATTCATTTATTTTCAAGTAAATTAATTTTCATGGATTAAGGAAAAGATGTATGATTGCGGATATTTATTTTTGTGGTTTTGTCAAACCTTCTACACAAGCCTATAAAAAATTTGTACTTAATTGAACATTTTAATTTGTGGTTTAACGATAGCTGCAAAATCCAAGAAAATTGATATCCCATGAATAATTATGAATTCATGGTATTATTAAATATTTATTTTGTGAAAAAAAACTCTTACTTCTATCTCTTCTTCAACTTGACAGTCAGCATACTCCTCTTGTTGCTACAACAAACAACAACATTTAGTTAGTTTAAACAATATTTATTCAGATAAACTGTCACATAACAATATAATACGCATGAAATAAATATCTTGGATTCAGACACATGCAAGTTACTTTTACAAATTTGTCTCCTAACATTCAGTTAAATATTGAAATGTGTTTTCATATATTATAGCAAATATATTACAGTGTATACAAAAAACAAAATTGCTTGGTGGACCATTAAATCACTTTTATATTTGCTAACATCCTTTTTTTTTACTTTATTATTTAAAAATATATTGATCATCCACATGATTTATAATAGAAATTTCTACAAGAACTTTATTGCAATGAAGGTATAATGATAAGGACCAAGAACTCTTACAGTATGCTAATTTTCAGTGACCCTAAAAAGCATTGTTCCTAATTTCATAGGAAAATAAAAGCAATTTCTGTCAAAATTCAGCAGCACTGGATAGATACAATACATATATTATCACCTTAAATACATTTAATTTTGAAGTAATGTCAATGCTTAAATATTTCTTACAAAATTCACACATTTCTGTTGAACAATGTAAACCAAAAATCTAGAGTCATATCAATTGTTCTCTGGAATTTTTAGATAAAAAGAAAGTGTGAGTGAGCAAAACCCGAAATTTTTTAATTTTGGTCAAGAAATATTTTTTTTAACTTTTTTGAGATATTGAATTTCGTAATCCCTTTGAAAATGTGCACGAAAATAATCATCCAATTTGCAGTCTTGCATATAATGCTTTCTTTTTGTGAAAAGGAATCTAATTATCTTTTTAAAACACTGGTATTGTAATACAGTAGATAATGCCACACAAACAAGAGCTGCTGATAACAATCATTTGATAGTTATTGGCACTATCATTGTCACAACAATGTAACAACAAATGGATCTTTTAAGTAGGTCTGAAGTTGAACAAAGAGGGCTGCACTGACATGACTCCTAATATTTCTTATTTGATTTGATTTGATTTGATTTTTTGTGTTTTAACGCCACTTTTAAGCACCGCTTTTGGGCTATTTCGTGGCGGCCAATTTTATTGGTGGATGAAGCCGAAAATGCCCGTAGAAAACCACCGACCTTCGATAGGAAAACTGACAATCCTAGTCAATTAAGATTAGAGTCAAGTGCACCCGCACGAGCAGGGTTCGAACTCACAACCTCAGTGTTGACTGGCTAGTGATTACAGTAGTAACTACTTAGACCACTTGGCCACCAAGGCCCTTTCTTATTTGATGAGTTGTTGATAAATAATATAAGTTATATGGTTCGCTACTGACACCCTACAGATCCATAGAGGTTAGTAAAATCCATAGGGGGTGAAGCCGAAGGCCTAATCTCCTACGTATTTTATTCACCCTCTATGGTCCGTAGGGGGTCAGTAGTGAACCGTATAACGAATTTATCGCACGTGGGACTTTTTCTGCTGCGTTTTGTAGAAAGATAAACAATGAAACACAACAACATTAATAGATGACGTCACCATTAACAGTAGACTTGATGTCATGAACCCCTATGAAATTTACTAACCCCCTACGGATCCATAGTGGGTCACCACGTGACGGCGTTAAACCAATCACAACGTGATAATTTACCCGCGGTGCAATAAAATAACATATACTGTGCATGCTTGTTCCTTTTAATTATACCTCTTTGGTTTCACAGTTTATATTTTTCACATAAAAATGTCTATCATCATTACTTGTTTAGCTTCACTTTAATCTTTTTTTTTTTAAATGTTTCCCCTTATTTTTTCTTTTCCAACTGTTATCTTATCATTTATTTACAAATTCATTTTACTTTGATTGATTTGAACAGTTAGAATTAGAACTCTTTTTATACAATAATAAGAAGTCTTACATCAGCTGCTTCTCCAATTTCCGCATCATCATAAGTTTCACCTTCTTCCTATTAAATTGTACATATTTTATATTATATTCTGCAAAATATTAAGTTCAATCATAATTTAACAGAACTAATATATTCTTCAATTATCATCTAGTCAACCAATCTACGATTTCATTGTTTTAAACACAAAATTCATATGCAAATATTATGTTCATCTGGTCTAATAGATTCTGACATTTTAAACAATCATATAAAAAAAAATACTTATTTTACAAATTTAAACAATCGTTGTTGTAGATGAAGCAGAAGCCAAAAACTTTCAACAAGCTTAGGTCTTTTTCTCAAAAGAAAAGGCAAAAGAAGCTACCATGGTTTGAGGTCCTCACATGGCTTTTTTGCATGATAATATCTACCAGTACCTACCCACCTCAAAAATCAAGCAAGTTGCCTCAGAACACTTTCAGACGTAAATTGAACACTCAGTAATTGAAATCTAGAGAAATTTCATTCAAAAAAATAAACAAGAATTGATTGATCAAATCTACATTATTACAGAATATTTATATTTCATGTATGTTCCATAAGAGTCAATACTTTTCATTGGCTAACAATTGTGAGGCAATCCAAAATCACTTTTTTTTTCTCAATAAAATGCAACATTCATGACTGCACATGCTTCGAATGACAACGTCACAGCAATGCATTGGAAAACAAAAAAAAACTTGATATAACTCGTAATATTTTGGTTGTAGAATATAAATGTAATCATCAGAATGAAAGGCTTCATATTGTAATTATATAGGGTTGTAAAAGCATTGATTGTCTGCATATTTTTTGGAGGCAAATTTTTACATTTTTACCTATTATGTCTGTTTGTTTTTCTCACACATTGTTGTCAATATAATGGAATTCTATGCAAGTGAGAGGTTTAGCTAGCTATAAAACCAGGTTTAATCCACCATTTTCTACATAAGGAAATGCCTGTACCAAGTCAGGAATATGACAGTTGTTTTCCATTCGTTAGATGTGTTTGAGCCTTTGATTTTGCCATTTTATAAAGGACTTTCCGTTTTGAATTTCCCATGGAGTTCGGTATTTTTGTTATTTTACTTTCTTTTTTTTTTGGCCAATGTTTTTACAACCTAAAAACAAATTATATACCTCTGACTCTGCTCCTCCCAAGGCAGCCTCATCATAGATATCACCTGCATCCCCCTCATCGTACAATTCATCTTCTACTGGCTCAGGAGGAGGCTGAAAATGTACAGAGATGTATTATTGATATTTACAAATGACTTCAATGAAATCAGAAATTTCCATCTTTAAATTAACTGAAAAATGAGACGTTACTAAATGATAAAAAGGTTTTTTATTCATATCAAATTCAAAAAGATTTTTTTCCAACAAACCTGAAATTTTATGGAGCATAATTATTTGTCCCATACTTCCCCTTCTCTGTTCCACTGAAAAGAGTACATTATAGCACTAATCCATAAAAATAAAGATGAAAAATGGAAAACTATTTTTCAATATCATGTCATGAATTAATATTCTTTCATATTAAAGTGAAATAATTATCACATACACTCATATCAAACAATTGACTAACATTATAAGTATGTTGATCTTTCACCCAAAATATTTTACCATGCATATATATATATATCCTAAATAAGAACAAAATACTAGCATATCGATATCTGTTTATTCTTCCTACATTTTACATGATATATCTGCAAGCATAATTTTGTTATAACACCAACAACAAATATAACACAGACTAGAAGCTACAACAATAGACACCATTGTTTAAAAAAGTTTCAAATCTATATACCAGCAACCATTAAAAACTGTTGTTTGTATATATGGGTATTTATTTGTTTTCCTTTTCAGCTAGTTTTTAGAAAATATTATCTTAACATTTAACAATCTATTAAACTGCATGTTGCAAGAACTAGGACAGAAAAAATTCTTATTTAAAAAATTTGAGATCTGAAATGTCTTGAAACCATTTATAACTTCACAGAAAGAAATATGTTAAACATAAATAACAAATAAACATACATGTATTTATAACTAAACACATAAAAACTGTTGGTTCATGTGTGAAACTATGACATATTTAGATTATCTGATAGAATTGAATTAACACTTTTCATTCCTTATTGCATGTTAATTTTCTATCTTACTTTCTTTTTTTTCAACTCTTTGATGGATTGGAAGAAACACTATTAATTTTGTATCACTTGTTTCTTTTTCTTCTTCTAGTTTTTTCTTCGTTTTGTCCACATTTTTGTTTAGAAAAAAGAAATTTAAAAAGTTAGAACTTGATCAGTTGAATAATTTTTTTTTTTTTTTTATCTTTAAATACAGCCTGAAACTAAAAGAATTTGAACAGCTTTCATAACATTGAAATTTTTTGCCTAAAGAAACTTACACCCCTAAAGTATCCTTTACAATACTTTCAGTACAGCAGCTCAGTCGGTTATTTTATTTGCAATTTAATTCTTACATCTTAGCATCTTAGGCTACAAATTTAAATTTTTCACAACATAATTCTAAGAAGTTAACGATAGAGACTAAAGATGACATTTAAGCACAACAGTAAATTAATGCAGATGAAACAAATAAGTTTCAAAAATTGAACCAGATGTTAATTTGCATACTGACACAAGACAATGTTATTTTACTGCTTTAGGAAAAATCGTCACTTATATTTATTTTTAAGGTTACGCTTGTGAAAAGAAAAAAATGAGAAATGATTACTTTATAATGTGGGGGCTGTAGGTGTAAGGAAGGAAGTCATTAAACACAAATTTTTAACATCCTTTTTTTTTTTTTAATTTGTTTAAGAAGTTTTGTATTATAAATGCTACTATGTGTTATATTTTATGACAGATAAAAATCATGCAATAACTGAATTGTAGAAATAATGAACTTTACAGAGAGCATTTAATGTACTTATGATCAATGAATTTCAAGTATGGTTAAATCTTCAGAAACCATTGAGATGATTTAGGAAATACATAGAAATTTGTAAATCAAACAATTAGTTAATCAAGATATGTTAAGATTAAAGTGATAAACATGAAAATGTCACTTTACGTTATATATGAAAGACATAACTTTGCTTTTCTATTTTTAGGGTTAAAATAACAGTTTATGAACAGAGCCAAAATGCAAGATGAGAACGATATGCAAAAATATTTCACAAGTAAATTAATAGATTAAATAGATATAAGTTCATAGTCTTGTCAATTCAATCAAAATGTTATTGAACTGCAATAGACAGTGCAATAAAAGCAGACAACAGTTGCCATGGCAGCAGCAGTAACCTTGAAGTTTGCTGGTGGAGGTGGTGGTGGCCTTGTAATGTTATCTTTATAACCTCTTTTTGGTATATCTGGTTTAGGCTGTAAATATAAAAATAAGAAGATGTGGTATAATTGCCAATGAGACAACTCTCCACTAGAGCCCAAATGAAGTAGAAGTTAGCAACTTCATATATTAAAAGTGGTAATCAATATGTAGAATTAACACTGATATATTGACTCAAAAATATCTTATTTTGCTATGACCTGAATGCATTTGTAAAATGTAAAAAAAAAAAATTGTTTCCAGTAACTATACAAAACAAAAAACATTAATCCATATCTAATATTATCCTTGTGCCCATAAAAAATTTGTAAAGGGTTCACCGGAACCCTGTATCTTGATTGCAATTTGTTAAGTCAGTGTAAAAGTGTAATGTTGACTGCAAAAAGTAGGTCACTGTAACGGTTCATTTATTCATTTCTTAATGCTTGCTTCAATGTAATGACACATTAAGCCCCAAATTTTAAACAGTATCTACTGAATCCCTGTCTACTGCTCTACTTACTGGTTCAATGGTCTGTCCTGACATGTCTTCATAACTTTTTGTGGAACTGTCAGAATCAGAATCAAACTCATCCTCGTCTGAATCAGAATCAGAGGCAGGTTGCAGAATTGGTTTGTTCTGTGAAGTGGCACTTAACTCATTATTTATAAGTTATTAAACAAAACGACAAATCATTTCTTAATATAACATATAAACATGCAGCTTCATACATCCAACAGCTTCTTATATTTGACAAATTACAAATAAAAAAAAATAAAAAATGCACAACAGACTAAACTAAATTTAAAAGGTATAAGGGAAGGATGGTAAGAAAGTTAACAAACTTCATCATTGTTCACATTCTGGGTGGGTAATTAGTAAATAAACTTTATGAAAGCAATGTAATTAAGGATGTTTTTAATAATGACTCACTTTGCATTTACAATTACCGACAAATCCATGTCATGTATGAAAGGATTTTTTTAATAGGAAAGGCAAAGTTTCCTTTTATTTTCACTTATTGTAACCAGTTGCTACACACACCTTTTGGTGCTCAGACAATGCTTATCAAAAGGCCTTATTGTCACATAAGCCTAAGTGCTCAGGCAATGCTTATCGATAGACCTAATTGTCACATAAGTCTAAGTGCTTAGAAAATGCTTTATAGACAGACCTTATTGTCACATAAGCCTAAGTGCTTAGAAAATGATTTATCGATAGACCTTATTGTCACATAAGCCTAAGTGCTTAGAAAATGCTTTATCGACAGACTTTATTGTCACATAAGCCTAATGTTAGAAATGCTTTATCGACAGACCTTATTGTCACATAAGCTGAAGTGCTTAGAAAATGCTTTATCGACAGACCTTATTGTCACATAAGCCTAAGTGCTTAGAAAATGCTTTATCGATAGACCTTATTGTCACATAAGCCTAAGTGCTTAGAAAATGCTTTATCGACAGACCTTATTGTCACAAAAGCCTAAGTGCTTAAAAAATGCTTTATCGACAGACCTTATTGTCACATAAGCCTAAGTGCTCAGAAAATGCTTTATCTACAGGCCTTATTGTCACATAAGCCTAAATGCTCAGAAAATGCTTTACAGACAGACCTTATTGTCACATAAGCCTAAGTGCTCAGAAAATGCTTTACAGATAGACCTTATTGTCACATAAGCCTAAGTGCTCAGAAAATGCTTTACAGATAGACCTTGTTGTCACATAAGCCTAAGTGCTTAGAAAATGCTTTACAGATAGACCTTATTGTTATACAATGTATAAGCCTTAGTATGCTTAGTGCTCAAACAATGCTTTACTGACAACCCATTATCAATTTCCATGGGAACTACATGTATAATGAAATACAGATGTCATTAGTTTTAAATCCTAACAATTTATTATTGCAAACAAACAAAAAGCAGCACAAGACTCTGAGGTGTATAAGTTAGGGTACTCATTCTCTTTCTTTGATTTATGGTTCTTGATTGTCCTCTTGATTGTCCTCTTGATATACTCTTGCTTTATATATGTCAATGCAATGTTTACATGTGTGCAAACAGATGCCTAAGGTAAACTATTTTCCATGGCAATGACCATTATTTGTCAGATAGGTCTCTAAGATCATATTAGGATAAGCTTTCCTAAAACCAGAACAAAGTTGTGGATCAGCAACCAAAAAAATAAACAACAGAAACTTGGCATAAGGGATGATTGTTGTATTACCATGATGACAAGTCATAAAAAATCATTTTTTATTTAAAACAATTCAACGTTTATGACTTACAGTATTTTTCTATTTATTTCTGGTAGAAAATTATCTCCTCATTTATGATGTATTTTCATACATTACATTAAGTACATAATGGAAAAAATCACACAAAGTATAACATTTTCTTGACCCCAAATTGGAAAAAATAATAGTCTAAGATGAAGCAGTGAAAAAAACTATAGTCCTGAAAAAGTTGTTTTTAATATGCTTTGTTGCAAAGAAAACACAAGAAAAGGTAAAAGAAAATGCTATTTTCTAAAAATAAGTCCTAGTGCATATCTTATTTTAACATATTTTTTTATATTTCAAACTAGGTATTTTAACATATTTTTCATATTTTAAACTAGGTTTTATAAATCTACCTATATTTTGGGCCAATAGAAGGTCCTATTTTTTTTTTACACAGGAATTCCCTGAAATACATGTATCATAGTAAAATTACAAGAAATGAATAAGAGAAGAAACACTTAAATCAATGTGATTAAATATTAACATAAAAAAATTATTTTTCAAAAAATTAAATCTCTTTACAAATTACATAAAACATGCAACAAAAAACAGTGTATATAAAGACAGAAAAATAAACAAATATGGAAAAATAGACAGTAGAACATGCATATTTCAAATTTAACTAATTATTACCATATGCACTTCAGAGAGCATGAAATTAATCAAAATCATATAAATACAAATGTTCTACAAGTTATCAACTACAAAATACTGATTAAAAATGTCATAAACAGTTTGTGCAGAGATATGTCCCACCTCTGCAACCTTAACACAAACTTTAACAATTGTTGACGCCACCTGGGACTAATAGATAATTGTAAAGATTCAATGTATTAGTCCCAGATGCCACCAATGCCAAAGCTTGAAACAGCATGCCTAAGTTTCAATTCTCAAACTATTGTTGCAGGCGAGACAAAAACTGTGTAATTTATTCCAGACACATTTTTATTTATACAATTCTATAGATAACTCCAATTTTTAATTGACAAGGATTGCCCAAGGTCATGGTTCCCTCTGGTTACTCCCACTACCTCTGTAAAATCAGCCAAGGTCACTGAAAGTGGCATTAAATACCAACAGACAAACAAACAAATCATTCATTCAAGCAAAGATTTAAAGGGGCATTAGCTACAAATAAGACGAAAAATAAAAATATGAAATTTTTTAGTTTTAAACATTATATAAAATGCTCCGCTGGGCGCAGCTTGATACGACCGCAGAGGTCGAACCCTGAACAGTTGGGGCAAGTATGGACACTACATTCAAGCTTGATACAGCACTGAATTTGGATTGTGATTTAATATTTGACACAGCATAGGTTTCTGACACAGAATGAATGTGGTCTAAGAACTTAAAATTTTTTAATTTACCTATTCAAACCATATCATTATTATTTGCTTTTATATATAAATCAGAAATAACCAATTTAAAATGGAAAATTTTAAAGAAAAAAAAATTCCCTTCCCTTAATTTTTTGAACCCCCTTATGATTCACCACCCCAAAACTTAATCCCAGCCTTCCCTTTGTGTTATGGTACCTTGCAGTACAATTTCAGAGAGATCCATACACTTGAACACAAGTTATTGTCTGGAAACTAGAAAAATGCTTGTTTTTAGGCCCCTTTTTGGCCCCAAATTTTTTAATGTTTAGGGCAATTACCCCCAAACTCAAACCCAGCTTTCCTTTTGTGATAATAGACAGTGCAATAAAAGCAGACAACAGTTGCCATGGCAGCAGTAACCTTGAAGTTTGCTGGTGGAGGTGGTGGTGGCCTTGTAATGTTATCTTTATAACCTCTTTTTGGTATATCTGGTTTAGGCTGTAAATATAAAAATAAGAAGATGTGGTATAATTACCAATGAGACAACTCTCCACTAGAGCCCAAATGAAGTAGAAGTTAGCAACTTCATATATTAAAAGTGGTAATCAAAATGTAGAATTAACACTGATATATTGACTCAAAAAATATCTTATTTTGCTATGACCTGAATGCATTTGTAAAATGTAAAAAAAAAAAAAACTGTTTCCAGTAACTATACAAAACAAAAAACCTTAATCCATATCTAATATTAGCCTTGTGTCCATAAAAAATTTGTAAAGTGTTTACCGGAACCATGTGTCTTGATTGCAATTTCTGAAGTCAGTGTAAAAGTGTAATGTTGACTGTAAAAAGTAGGTCATGGTACGGTTCATTTATTCATTTCTTAATGCTTGCTTCAATGTAATGACACATTAAGCCCTAATTTTTTGAACAGTATCTACTGAATCCCTGTCTACTGCTCTACTTACTGGTTCAATGCTCTGTCCTGACATGTCTTCATAACTTTTTGTGGAACTGTCAGAATCAGAATCAAACTCATCTTCGTCTGAATCAGAATCAGAGGCAGGTTGCAGAATTGGTTTGTTCTGTGAAGTGGCACTTAACTCATTATTTATAAGTTATTAAACAAAACGACAAATCATTTCTTAATATAACATATAAACATGCAGCTTCATACATCCAACAGCTTATCATATTTGACAAATTACAATTAAAAAAAAAATAAAAAAATACACAACAGACTAAACTATAGTTAAAAGGTATAAGGGAAGGATAGTTAGAAAATTAACAAACCTCATCATTGTTCACATTCTGGGTGGGTAATTAGTAAATAAACTTCAAAAAAAAAGCAATAGGATGTTTTTAATAATGACTCACTTTGCATTTACAATTACCGACTTATCTCTGTCATGTATGAAAGGATTTTTTTAATAGGAAAGGCAAAGTTTCCTTTTATTTTCACTTATTGTAACCAGTTGCTACATATGCCTTTTGGTGCTCAGACAATGCTTATCAAAAGGCCTTATTGTCACATAAGCCTAAGTGCTAAGGCAATGCTTATTGATAGACCTAATTGTCACATAAGCCTAAGTGCTTAGAAAATGCTTTATCGAAAGAGCCTTATTGTCACATAAGCCTAAATGCTTAGAAAATGCTTTATCGACAGACCTTATTGTCACATAAGCCTAAGAGCTTAGAAAATGCTTTATCGACAGACCTTATTGTCACATAAGCCTAAGTGCTTAGAAAATGCTTTATCGACAGACCTTATTGTCACATAAGCTTAAGTGCTTAAAAAATGCTTTATCGACAGATCTTATTGTCACATAAGCCTAAGTGCTCAGAAAAAGCTTTATCGACAGACCTTATTGTCACATAAGCCTAAGTGCTTAGAAAATGCTTTATCGACAGACCTTATTGTCACATAAGCCTAAGTGCTAAAAAAATGCTTAATCGACAGACCTTATTGTCACATAAGCCTAAGTGCTCAGAAAATGCTTTATCTAAAGGCCTTATGGTCACATAAGCCTAAGAGCTCAG